GCTCATTCCTCACCTCCAACAGCGGCGGTCAATCAACCCAAATAAGCGCCCCCTTCAGCGCACCATTCAGCAACGGCATACGCCTGACCAGCGTATCCAAGACGCGATCCGGCGAAAACGACGGCGGAAGCTCAACGCACGAACTATCCAATAACCCACCAAATATATATGACATAGGCGAATGGCCACACGGTACACAGACCACGATATCAAGCCCTTTTAGAAAATATACATCTGCGAAAGACTACGAGAGCAGCGAGACGGGGATCCGTGTTGATGAAGAGACGGCTGTTTCTGTACAACGGCGTGACGATAGTGTATGAAACAGGGCGGCGACCCTCGGCGTTTTGGATATGATATCAGCGAGGCTGGGTCCTTTTGTTTACCTTAAGATACCACTGGATAAAATACCAACTGAACCTTAATTGTCAAACAAAACGTCCATTGTGTCGTATATTGTGTGATCAGCGTGTCGCTTCATGCGTGGTCGAATTTGGGTTCTGTACCAGCACAACGGTGTCGGCCCGCCAGCCTCAACCTTGTTAGCATTCCAGTTGCATTCGCTTGCCACGGAATTATCCATGCTCCAGATCATGGGCGCTGGGGAGTTAAATATCATGAGTTTGGATATTTATGCCTCAGGCATAACATGACGTGAGGTTGTTATGCCGAACATTGCCGCTGCTAACTCACGATGCTCCGCAAAGTACGGAGCCCATGGTCCAAGATGAGGAATTGTATGATTCGCAAACCCATTCTGGCCGTGAGCTGTCGGCGTTGCAATTGTTAAGCCGATGGAAGGATCTAAGCTCGCCGATTATTAAATTACTCCTCTGAGTGGTTAGCAGAGCAGCTCGTGATGTTAGTTCTTCATGAATTTGGGTGTCGGGTTTCAATGTCCGGCGACCGTCCGGGTGTTTCCGCCTATCCCGCGGGAGGGAAGTTTACGGAGAGGGTCACTCACCGAGCCATCAAGGGGAAGCAAAGAAAGCTTAGGACCTCTATCCCAAGTGATGAAAAGATTTAGGTAAATCTAGTGCAGATACAGTAGACCTTCAGACTAGATATTTTTGGCACCCTGATCTAATGTCAGTAGTTTTCTTGCTCCCAACGGCCACAGCTTTCGCAGTTCAAGGTGAGCGCTTGTAAGTTACTGATGTCGAATTGAACCTCACCTGAGTGACGTATTGCAAAACATTAGATATGGCTTTAATACTTGCGATTTAACAACACAACATGAAGTCGGAAAGCGACTGAATCTTTATTATTACAATTTCAGCTATAATAACCCGTAAATATTGATCCATCCCCTTTTGCCCGTACAAACATCTCCAAAGGTACTGCAAGTCCGTGCGATACCTTGAAAGCTCGGCCCGCTTAATTCAGAACTTGTTTTCCTTTCCCCACGATCCCATCATTCCCCATCCCTTCCACCTTCAATTGTCCCCCCCAAACCCTCACAATGGCTTCATTCATGCGCATAAAGGCCGCAACAGGCCTCTCCAGTCTATCACGCGTCGCCCTCTCCCGCGCCAGCCTCACACACAGCGCCATCCTCTGCCAACGCGATCCCCAACGACGACTCTTCAGCAACTCCAGCATCTTCAATGGCTCGTACATCGTCTCCGTGCCGCCCATGGCAGAGTCCATCACCGAGGGAACACTAGCCAGCTTGCCCAAGAAGGTCGGCGAGGCGGTGGAGCAGGACGAGGAGATTGCGAGCATTGAGACGGACAAGATTGATGTTCTTGTTAATGCTAGTGAGCCTGGTGCTATTGCTGAGTATTTTGCGGAGGAGGGCGATACCGTTGTTGTTGGACAGGATCTTGCGCGTATTGTGACGGGTGAGGATGCGGGTTCTGTTAAGAAGAGTGAGGGCGAGGAGTCAAAACCTAAGGAGGAGCCTAAGAAGGAGGAGTCAAAGCCTGCTGAGCAGCCCAAGGCTGAGGAGAAGCAAGCTGCTCCTGCCGAAGCTCCCAAGCCTTCAAAGCCAGCTGAGTCGAAGCCCGCGCCCAAGGAGTCCAAGCCCAGCCCTCCCGTTCAAGGCTCATCAAGCGGTCCCTCCCGCGGCGAGCGAGTCGTAAGTCCACCCAAACCATAGCAACGTGATCCCAAGCTCACAATCATGTAGGAGAAAATGACACGCATGCGCAAGACCATCGCCGCACGCCTCAAGCAATCCCAAAACACATGCGCATCCCTAACAACCATCCAAGAAGTCGACATGACCAACATCATCGCCTGGCGCGCCAAGTACAAGGAAGAAGTCGCAGAAGAGCACGGCGTCCGCCTCGGTTACATGGGCGCTTTCACAAAAGCCACTACACTCGCTGCGCAAAAGGTTCCCCAGATCAACGCCATGATCGACACGGAGAAGGAGATCATCACGTATCGCGATTATGTTGATGTGAGCATTGCTGTTTCGGCGCCCAAGGGCTTGGTCACGCCTGTGTTGAGAAATACACATGAGTTGAGCATTGTTGAGCTGGAGAGGGAGGTTGCTTCTGCTGCTAAGAAGGTAAGTTCATGATGATTGATGATGGCGATGGTGCTAATGGGTATAGGCTCGTGATGGTAAGCTTACTATGGAGGACATGGAGGGTGGAAGCTTCTCCATCAGCAACCCCGGTATCTTTGGCTCCATGTTTGGAACTCCTGTTATCAACTACCCCCAGGCCGCTGTGTTCAACATGAACGGTATCCGCCAAGAAGTCGTCGCCATCAAGGGCGAGGCCGTCATCCGACCTGTAAGTCTGCCCCTCTTTAACCCATGGTTCAAGACTAATCTTTTGTAGATGATGTACATCAGCTTGACCTACGACCACCGTCTCATTGACGGCAGAGAGGCTGTCACCTTCTTGAACACTGTCAAGAAGTATATTGAGGATCCTTCGCGCATGCTCCTTGTCTAAAAAGTTGGAGTGTTAGAGTAGAGTAGAGTAGAGTAAAGAGCTTATTTGTATGCTAGAGCGACTGGATTTAGATGGAGGAACGGGCACTATTGCATGGCCGGCGCATTTGTAGAGTTCGACTAATGCAGATGCTTACTACGTCACGTTTTATCATGTGATTGAGGCGAAGAGATGTAGAAATGTGTACAAAGGAGAAATCACTTTTTGAACCCGGGGCCGTACTCTTATTCTGTAATGTGTGGACTAGACTCTACGCCAACATAAGTCACTGAAGCAAGATAGAACATGATTTGTGGACTAGAAGACTTTTGATGATCTCATACTAGGTTTATGATGAATCATTCCGAAATCTATACTAAATATCCTCAGTTTCGAATCCCGTGATCTCACTCTTCATACAAACTATTCCATCTTTCTCAACAAGAACTTCCCAAGTCTTTCCGTCTTCAGCTGCGGTCCGTATATTATACGTCTGACCAGCATACAGAGGTGACATAGCTCTGTACGTGATCTCTCTCGGGCTTCCACCATTGCCATGAATGTCTCGCCAGTAATCCAGCAGGTTGATGAGATTCAGAGGCCCATGCACAACTTCAGCTGGATGGCCTTCAACGTTACGAGCCCAGTCTTGGTTATAGTGTATCATGTGTCCATTGAAGGTAAGGGCTGAGAATCTGAAGAGGCCGACGGGCGACCAGCGCAGTTCTCTGATGGGGAAACCTACTTCTCTTAGCCAACATCAGTCTGTAATCTTGTGCGGCGCTTACCTTCACTCTTGGTATCAAGATCTCGGATAAGTGACGGCCCACGTACAGCATCCTCAAGCACTCTGGGCTGCTCTCTCACAGCACTAGGATCAATCTCAGGTCTAAAAACCCAGGATCTCCGATCCGTCACCGCCAAACCCTTCCGCGCCCAAAACTCCTTCTCAACCTCTACAAGGACCATCTCCCCAACTGACCGACTCTTCTTCGGCGTCGCGCTCAGCAACCTCGTCTTCTCCATAACCATATCACCAACCCGAAGCGACACATCACCAGCCCATGTCATCTTACCACCAGCCCACATCCTCCGCGTGAACGGCTCCGAGGCATTAAAAGTGGTATCGCTCCCGTCAGCGCCTAATTCAGGTTCTGTCCCATTTGGTGTGAAGTACACGAGGTGGTAGCCAGGTGGTATAGGCGTGCCCTTAATTGGCGGCTTCTCAAATACGTCTTTGCCGTCCAGGACTGACCGATTAAGTGTAAGTGCTAATTTCTGGATCTGGGTTTTGTCGAGATATTGACGGCGGATGATGGTTTTATTGGAGAATGTTTCGAGTAAGTGTGATGCCGCGTCTGCGGCAGTGGCTTTGAGGTTGCGGAGAGACATGATGGGTTGTGTGAGGTAAGTGATGCGGGGTGAAGTTTGGAGGGGAGCGTGGATAGATATACAGCTGGTGATCGGCCAATTGGTCGAGTTGCCGATATCTTGGAAAGTGGAAAAAACCAGGACTTGATATTTGATATTGAACAGAATTTATGTACCAATGTTGTCGATATTCCTTTCTAATTGTTGCTGTCGTCAAGAGGCTACAGGCTAGTCTACAAGGGGCATGTGAAGTTACCGCTACAAGTACAGTCACTTTTAGACCAGGGATTCCAAACTTGGGGTTTTCTAGCATAAACTTAGGAAAAATCAATCATGAGCTTAAGACAATAACGTCAAAATATATTCTCAAGATAGATGATGATTAGTTTATAGCTCTAAAAGAGAGGAATGCCTTGCAATTAAACATCAACATCTCGAGTTGCTCTTGAGATGTAGTTAAACCTCAGGCTCCACTTTCGGCAGGCGGTCAAGTTCCGGGTACAAGGGTACTCAATCTCCGACCAATCACGTCACTGCCATTATTATTCCGCTCAGATTTCCCCAGGAATTTTTTATGACCCATCCCCTCCGAGGCCGGCTTCGCAAACAAAAAACAATGAAGCTATCCCCAACCTAAAACTCGCACTCTTTTCCATCCGCCCGACACCGTCGCCGTCACGATCCAGAATTAGCTTTCTGGCATGGTATTTGTTATCGGTATCTGATTGAGCTTTCACAATGGTTGCTTTTGTATGTGTATCGTCTCCTGCGCACTGTCCTTTGGTCTTGAACGTATTCTGACATTCTGTATAGAGGAGAGCAGTCGCTCTCAACGCTGTCGCGGTTGCGCGGCTTCAGTCTCGAACCTTGATATCTCGCTCTCGAACCCTCGCTGTCGCCACACAACAACGCGCCTACACGTCGCCGAGTGCCCGACGCCAATACGCTTTCCATACTCAGCTCGAGAACTCGTCTGCTCCTAATCCTTCGGCTTTCCAGTACCAGCAGGTGCCTGTGGTAGAGAATCCCCAAACATTGATCGAAAAGATTGCTCAAAAACATGCTGTTGGGCTGCCGCCAGGAAAGAAAGTTCGACAGTCTGACTATATTGCACTTTCGTAAGGGCCCTGACTCTGTTGGAAGAATTGAAGCCTTCAAGAGGAACTGACAGTCTCTATAAAGGCCGCAGCATTTAATGACCCATGACAACTCATTCCCAGTGTAAGTGTGATGTCTCTTGGATAACAGAAGGTTGTATTCTGATTCCTAATAGCATGTCGAAATTCGTGACTGGGCTCGGTGCTTCCAAGATCCACAATCCTCGCCAACCTGGTAAGTGATTTTGCCCCTTATCTGGAGATGGTGTTCAAGTATTGTCCGGAGATGGCGTACAAGTATTACTTGAACATAATACCCAAGTCTTATCTGGAGATGACCTCCAAGTCTTGCCATGGGAATAGCCTCACTAACTCTTGAACAGTGTTTACCCTTGATCACGATGTCTCAAACACCACAGAGGCAAACCTTCGAAAGTACTCCTTGATTCGTGAATTCGCGGAGAAGCATGGGATCACAAACTATCCTGCCGGAAGGGGAATTGGACATCAGATTATGATCGAAGAGGGTAAGAAAGGACAGAACTACCGCGATGGAATAGTCTACTAACGCACGGATAGGATTTGCTTGGCCACAGACAGTTTCCGTTGCCTCAGATTCTCATTCGAACATGTACGGAGGTAGGTCATTCTGCCAAAGTTGCATTTCAGGCTACTAACACACATGTAGGTGTAGGTTGTCTCGGCACTGCAGTCGTTCGTACAGACGCAGCCGCTGTCTGGGCTACCGGACAGACCTGGTGGCAGGTTCCCCCGGTCGCAAAGGTCACTTTCACTGGCATTCTTCCGCCTGGAGTTACGGGCAAGGATGTCATCATTGCTCTCTGCGGTCTCTTCCGCGATGATCAAGTATTGAACCACGCCATCGAGTTTGCCGGTGGTGAGAGTCTCACCATCGACGAACGTTTGACCATTAGCAACATGACAACGGAGTGGGGTGCCCTCGCTGGTGTCTTCCCTGTTGATGATATGCTCATCTCATGGTACCGTGCCAAGGCTACCACTAATGCCATGTTCAACGGCTCTTCCAAGGAGCGCATTAACCACAAGCGAATTGACGAGCTCGACCAGAACAGATTGTCTGCCGACCCCGGTGCCAAGTATGCTAAGGAACTGTACCTCAACCTCTCAACTCTATCTCCAATCGTCTCTGGACCCAACTCCGTCAAGGTCGCCACCCCCCTGCATAAGCTTGAGGCCGAGAACATCCCTGTCAGCAAGGCTTACCTCGTATCTTGCACCAACTCTCGAGCTTCTGATATTGCTGCTGCTGCTCGTGTGTTCCGTGAGGCTGCTAAGGAGGGCAAGCCCGCCAAGGTTGCTCCCGGTGTCGAGTTCTACATCTCTGCGGCATCCGTCCCTGAGCAAAAGATTGCCGAGGAGGCTGGAGACTGGCAGGTACTGGTTGAAGCTGGCGCCATTCCCATGATTTCAGGATGTGGACAATGTATCGGCTTGGGCCAGGGTCTTCTTGAGCCCGGTGAGGTCGGTATCAGTGCCAGTAACCGCAACTTCAAGGTACGAAGCTCTTAACCATTGAACTATGACCTAAAGCTAATACCTTTCAGGGCCGCATGGGCTCTACATCAGCCAAGGCATACCTCTCAAGCCCTGAGATCGTTGCTGCAAGTGCTCTCCAAGGCAAGATCGCTGGCCCTGGCTGGTACCAGAAGCCCGAGGGTGTTGAGAAGGTCATCATCGGTGAGGGAAGTGGAGACTTTGTTGCTGACAAGGCTTTGTCCATTGAGGATGCCCTTGACAAGATCATCAACGAGGCTGATGCTTTGATCGCCGCTGCTGAGAAGTCAGAGGGTGCCGCTGAGGAAGCAAGCCCTGCTGCGTCCGAGGAGGAGTCGCTGACTGAAATCCTCCCTGGTTTCCCTGAGAAGGTCGAGGGTGAGATTGTCTTCTGCGACAGCGATAACATCAACACTGACGGCATCTACCCCGGTGCGTTGACTCGCCCTCATTCCCCGACTCAACTAACAGCTTGATAGGCAAGTACACATACGAGGACAACATCTCAACAGAGAAGATGGCCGAAGTCTGCATGGAGAACTACGACACCGAGTTCGGCAAGATCGCCAAACCCGGCGACATCCTCGTCACAGGCTTCAACTTTGGCTGCGGCTCATCCCGCGAACAAGCTGCGACTGCAATCCTCGCCAAGAAGATCCCTCTCGTGGTCTCGGGCAGCTTCGGCAACATCTTCAGCCGCAACAGCATCAACAACGCGCTCATGGGCGTGGAGGTGCCGCGCCTCGTGGAGCGTCTGCGCGAGACGTACAAGAACGACACCGAGAAGCCGCTAACCCGAAGAACGGGGTGGAAGTTCGTCTGGGATGTGAGGCGGTCAAAGGTCATTGTTACAGAGAAGGATGGGAAGCAGTGGGAGCAAAAGGTTGGGGAGTTGCCTGCTAATGTGCAGGAGATTATCGCCAAGGGCGGTCTGGAGAAGTGGGTTAAGTCCAAGATTGAGGCGTGAAAAGTGTGATTTGCGTGTATTATAGAGGGTATTTAGATGTTGGAAATAAGTAAAAGTCTTGAACCTAATGATACTGATGACTTGGCTGGGAGAGACAGGAAAGCTTGAGACCTTTGCCCTAAGATTTGGATAATTTTAGGATATCTGAGATGGCCTTTAGATCATTGATTTCGGCACCTTGATTCAATGTCAGAAGTATTCTTGCTCCTCGGGGCTTGGCGAAGGCTTTCGTGGCTGACAAAACTACGAAGACAGGCTTAGGAAGTATAGGCAAGACTGTTGGCTGGGTATTTTTGACACCTTGCCCCAAGGTCTCTCCGCATCTCATCATCATTCACACAAAGAGCACTTCAACACTATCAAGTCTTGCCTACGCATTGAAAGCCAGTTCGCTGAAGCACTAATCAGTCATTGGACCCAAAAAAACAAGGAGGAAGAAAACCTATCCCAGGATGATACGTAACCCGACTGTCAAAATGTCGCGATTAGCTTCACGATGCCTCATTCACCTCCGCCAATCGCTACCTCATCCAGCCCAACGACGTTACTTCTCAACAACAACCCCAAGACATCTAATGAGCCTAACAGGCTTTTCAGAAAACCAACTAACAGTCCGCGACGCCATCAGCAAAGTATGTGCTGAATTCCCCAACACATACTGGCAGTCCCATGACCAAGATGAGCAAGACCCAAAGGAGTTCCACGCCGCTCTCGCTAAGGCCGGCTGGCTTGGTATTGCACTTCCAGAGTCTTTAGGGGGCTCGGGTTTGGGAATTTCAGAGGCCACGATGATGATGCAGACGATTGCAGAGTCGGGCGCTGGTATGGCGGGCGCGCAGAGCATTCATGCTAATGTCTACGCGACGCAACCTCTTGCCAAGTTTGGATCGAGGGAGCAATTGGAAGATACTATCCCGAAGATTGTGTCGGGGGAGTATAGAGTGTGCTTTGGAGTCACGGAGCCAAATGCTGGGCTTGATACGCTTCGTCTAGAGACAGTAGCGAAAGAGAACTCTGATGGTTCATTCAGCGTCACCGGTCAGAAGATTTGGATAACATGTGCGCAAGTAGCGTCGAAGATGATCCTCCTCGCGAGGACTACACCATTAGACAAAGCCACAAAGCCAAGCGAAGGTCTCTCCCTCTTCTGTATTGATCTCAACCGCGATCAACCAGGTCTCGAGATGCGACGGATCAAGAAAATGGGCGGCAGAGCTGTCGACGCAAATGAAGTATTCTTCGACAACTACACCATCCCCTCCTCGTCCCTCATCGGCGCCAAAAACAAAGGCTTCAAAATGATCCTCCACGGCATGAACGCCGAGCGCTGCCTCCTCGCCGGCGAAGCCCTCGGTCTCGGCTACGCAGCCCTCACCAGAGCAGCGTCCTACGCACGAACCCGGGTTGTGTTTAAACGACCCATCGGGATGAACCAAGCAATAGCTCACCCGCTAGCCGACGCGTACATGAAGCTTGAAGCAGCGAAACTGGCGACGTACCACGCTGCGAGGCTGTATGACGAGGGGGAGGAGGAGGTTGGGGTCGCGGCGAATAGTGCAAAGTACATGGCTGCTGAGGCGGCGTTTGGGGCGTGTGAGAGGGCGGTGTTGACGCTGGGGGGGATGGGGTATGCGGTTGAGTATGATGTTGAGAGGTGGTTTAGGGAGTGTCTTGTTCCGAGGATTGCGCCGGTTAGTAGGGAGATGATATTGAATTATATCAGTGAGAAGGTTCTTGAGCTGCCGAGGAGTTACTGATGGTTGTAACGCTCGTTGGAGGGCGATATGACCAACAGAGCCTAGAACAGGCGCTTGTTTATTTAGCCAGGATCATATTACATGAGACACACGATTATCCTTTACAGAGAATCGGCTATTAAATAAGATACACTGATGTCTCATGTCTTGTGGATGAAGACGTCTCAGCAGCTCATGGTTGCGAGTCCGATCTCGGCCAAGTGCCAAAACTGCCTGATTAGGAAGTAAGCCTTGGATCACAGCGCGTCTGTATTATTTTATAAAATGTAACAGCATTCTTATATTAATTCAACTCAATAATATATGACCTCTCTAAGCATCTTATGTCCATCTGCTGGTTTATGGTAGCGTTGTAAAAGACATCGGCTCCAATCGGATATCCATGGTCTTCGGATGACAGATCTACACCCCGCGATCGCCCTCATCTCGACATTCCCTACATCTCACTATCCATCAATCAACAAAAAGACAATTCAACCAAAATGGCACGAACACCAGTCTCTACAAAAAAGGCCCCCGCCGTGCCGCAAAGCTTGATGAACCAGGCCATCATCGCCAATGGCTTCGTCTTCACATCCGGCGGCGTCGCAATGGACCCCAAGACAGGAAAGATGATTGACGGCGACATCGAAGCTCACACAGTAAGTCAAACTTTTTCCAAAATGAAAATCAGCCACTAATTGAGATATCTTAGCGTCAAATTATCTCCAACCTCGGCGCCATTCTTGACGAAGCTGGCTCGAGCCTTAATGATGTGATTGAGGTCAACATTTACTTGTCTGATATGAAGTACTACGCCAAGATGAACGAAGTGTATGCTGAGTATTGGGGTGATGTCAAGCCTGCTAGAACGTAAGTAAACCGGGAGATGGCTTAGACAAGAATGCTGATTGTAGTAGATGCGTTGCTGTCAAGAGTCTTCCGATGAACGCCAATATCGAGATCAAGTGTGTCGGAGTTGTTACTAAGCCCAAGTCGAAGCTGTAAAAGGGCAGCTGCTGCTTTGGGAGTGGCATTGCTTGAGAGTAGGGGTTCGCGATGAGATTCCATAATTAGTAGTTGTCAGGTACAGCCTCTATGACATACGACTTGCAAGACCATGTTCTCTCGGGTCAATACGTTTCATGATGTGTGTCCCACCTATTCTACAAGTGCATTGACGCTTTGAGCGGACGGCCTCTCAAAGCTAGTGCGTTGTTCAAGCGCGCGCAAGAAATGAGTGAATCTTCTTACACTGAAAGCCCAAGGCGTGATGTGATGAGGACAGACTCTCCCCTGGGACGGGTGATACTGGCTATATAGAACCAACATAGTTCGTTCATTTGTCAGCCGTCCGGGACAGCTGCACTTTACATTGATGCTTGTGCCGCCTGCAATGAACATCTCCCCAAATCTGGCTGTGATGGTACTGCCGTACCTCCTGGCATTATTCGTTACTGCGTGGACAGGACTACCCTACCAGAGTGGCCACAGTGATGGGGATTGAGGCCATGCTTAATGAGCGCTGGCGCAATATCGACGGTCTTGGGCCTCACAGGGCAAAAGACGGCGGTCTTTTGATGGTCAGAGATGGGCGCGCTTACACCGATGCCATATTTGCCAGCCACAACAGCTTGCCATAGCCGCCACCACTGATGCACCAGAGGAGTTTGGCCGTGCCCATCACGGGCACCGGGATGAGTCCAAGGTTAAGAAGCTGTTTGGCTAGATCAGAAAGCCAATGAACTTGAGGATAGTGCAGCACATCCACATCATGATGTCTGGTACGCGGGTCAGCGCCGTGCCGTAGAAGCCCTGGGACGATGACGGCGGCTCTGTCAACCTGCGTCCTGAGAAGATGGAGGCGGAAGTTCCATTTCTCTATAACATTAGGATCGGCGCCGTACTGTAGCAGTGAATACAGGAGGCCCCCATCCACCATTGCGGAGTACGTGATATTCCGGATGGATGCGTGGAGGACAGGATGACCAGATAGGGCATTTGTATCAGCTTCAAATTGCAGGAGCTTAGCAGCAAATCTTGGATGACTCTTTGTAGTGTCTTTTTACTGCGTATCGTTATGTGAAATATGTTGGCCGCAGACGGCGTGCTGATGTCTGCCTCGTGCCGGAGCAATACTTCCATAATATGCAGATACACTGGAAAGCCGAGGCAATGGTATAACCCTAACCCTCTATGAAGTACCTTCAGGTCACCCTATTCCCAGCTATTTACGTATACACCACTCTGATCAATATGAACCAGCTTGATACTAATGGATTGTTGAATGGCTTTGCTCGGGGCCGAAGGAGGTATGGGGTTCACCACTTGGTCCACTTGGATATGTCAGATCCACACAATTCAACGTGCTTATGTATGGCAAACCTACTAGGCGTGTCTTTAAGTCCACAGGGTCCAGTGCAGTTGGGTTCATGTGCTTCACCCTGTGGATGGTCTCGTACTGTGATGAATACGAGACATGAAAGCATCTCCTTGGTCAAAGACGCCGAGGGTAACGAGCACCTGGGTGATGAGGTTTGACAATCTTCAGAGACCGAACTGAAAGTGTGGTATGGTCCTGTTGCTGTGCAAGTTCGCATCGTCCTGGTTGGTCTGGCTCTCGAATCCGAGTCCGAGAGAAGCCCAACAAACTAGCGAGACATCCCCAGGACTCTGTACACATGGGGAATAGCGGATACAGCCCTAATACATATGCGAACGCTGCTAATCTCTAGTAATACTGTCGCTACGGCCACCGGACGAGCGGCGTGTTGATGCTCTGAAAGAAGGATGAGTCGGTCACAAATACTGCAGAAGCATAGTTCCAATTATCCTGTGCTTGTTGAGACTCTGTATTTGAGCCGACGGAAAAACAACTGAAGGTTCCGGGCTTCCTGCCCCCTACACAGTCGATGCATCTCTGCGCCAGGACAAACTCGGCATGCGCTGTGCTGGTGCGGGAGTCTTCTGCAACATTGACTTGTTTTCATACCTCCAGACCCCAATCTTCTCCTGGTAAGAACTCTACGCTGAGGCATCTACCAGCCTAACAAACGGGTTTTGATCGAGATACAGGTGTGCGCCCGAAGCTAACTTACAAAACGCATCTCTTGCTTCAGCTGCTCTACCTTGCCGTAGAAGAGAAGTAGCTCAGAAATCTTGACCAAGTCAGCCACACTAGAGTACCAGCCAGTTCTCCATTATTAGTGGTTGGAGTGCCTGGAATACCCAGTACAGAAGCCAGGATATCCTATACTGTCGCTGAGGCTTGATGCGAGCTTAGATGCGTGCATAAAGTCAGAGAACTGCAGGGCCATAAAATACCTCGGTTGTTGGTCTTGCCTTATACATGCTCGTGGATTGTAAAGTCAACAAAAAGAGAAGTGTATCACTTCCGAAACATGTTCCTGACCTCGGCCACGTAGGCTGGTCATAGGCTTTAGAGATGTTGTGTCTCTCGATCTCGAGGTTGAAGGCTCGCACAGCATCACGCACTCTATCGGACTTGGTCTTACCGAGAAGCAGGCATGGCTCTACTATAGGAAAGCTATCTCACGACTCGCGATCGCCAGCGTCAAGGGGAAGCGACTCGTAGTCTGACTCAGGGCTGTCCACCATGGAGGTATAGTCTAGCGATTGGCCACCGTATAAAGTCCACGAAACAACCACCCATTGCATCCACGAAGCGGAGTACGGAGCCTCGTGGAGGGCATCCGATGGCCCCCTTGAGACCTCCCCAGAGCCATACGTGACGAAAGGATATAGAGCGTCTTTCTTCCACCCTTCATCAGCGAAGTTGCATGACTCGTCAAACTGTGTTATTTTTGGAGCATCAGGTAGAAGCACGAGTGAAGGAGGGTACTCAACACGCTGCCCTTCGCACTGGAAGAGTGGCGGGGGACCGCGATGAGCTCTAGCCAGTTGCCCGGTGAAATGAGTATCACTGCATTGCCTCTGCCCGGTCAACAACAGGCCTGAGAAATGGCGCATGACGTGAGAATAAAGTGGACTTGTTTGCTAGCCTCGAATAATACGGAGAAAGTAGCTTAAACGTTTCACTATGCAGATGTGACGTCGTCAGTATGATAGAACTATCTCCTTGTTGGCATTTGTGACCAATACAAAGAGTTTCAATGTTCAAGAACAAGGGATGAACTAGTTGATATGCGCAGTAGTTCACAATGATACGAGTAACAAGCCTCCCACGACTAGCCCCAACGTGATGATCACTGAAGAAACTGAACACCGAACAGCATCACTCCCCTTCGGAACATCAGCACTCTCTTTCCCATCCGTTCCCCCTCCTTCCGTAAAGTTAGAAGTCCCAGTCAGTTTCAACCCCTCCAACCCTCCCTCAATCTTATCCAGCGGCGCCACGAACGCCATCTGACTCCAACTAAACTGTGTATTCCTCCCGCCATACACAAAGACCTCAAATCTTCCTACCACTTCGCCATCAGTAAACAAAACCGTTCCATGCAGCACGTCCGTCACCAGAGTGATGTTAGTAGGAGTAGAGACTTTGACGGGTTTGTGCGTGGATGAAGTGTTCACCCAGATACGACCTGGAGCTCCGGGGTCAAGATCGAGGGCGTCGTCTTTTGTGACTTTGCGAAGGGGATACTCCCATCCATCAGCGGTGAAGATTAAGTTTTCATCATTGTCAAGGGATAGGGTATTGTCGGGACCAGAGAGGGTGAATGGGCCTGTGATGGAGAGTGTGAGGGTGTAGTTCATCCCCTTGCTCCCATGACCAAGATGGACTTCCTTTCCATCACCATCCGAACGAGACCACGATACTAACGTCCCATTACCACCAAGAGATAGCGGCCTATCGAGATTCTGATCCGGAGCCCTCGGGGAGTAAAAGTCAACGCTACCATCACTCGTCTCCTCCACTAACTTCGGTCCCCGACTCCCACTCCACGCCCTCCCTCCCACAACCGCAATACCCCTCCTCATCGAATAATACGCCTCAAGCTGCGTACTCGCATCAGGCCCATTATCATTCCACACCGCCAACGTCGCACCCCTCAACATCTCCTCATCACTCTCCAGCTGCAGACTTGTATTCACAGGGTTGAAATCAGCAGGCGTCCACTGCCACTCGTCCTTATCCGCAAAGTTGAAAACACGACTCTCGTTGAAGAACTGTGGGTAGCGCGCTGGGAGGATGGGCATGTGGTCGTTTTTGAGACTTGTGTAGGCCCACCAGTCTTCTGAGTTGATGATATCGTAGCCGTCTTTGACGAGTTGCACGGGGTCTGATTGGCCGTATTGCCAGTGCTGGATGATGACGGTTTTGTCGATTGTTTGGTTGCGTTTTGAAGGTTCGTGAGTGCCCCAGATCCGACTTCGCTTGTTGGCTGTGGAGTTTATGAAACGGCTCATTGTGTTGACGAAGGTGATGTAGTCATCAGCAAGTTCGGCGTCGTATTCGTCGGCGCCAATATGGACTTCTTTCGTCTTGAACCATGGCAGAAATTCTTTCCAGATACTTTGCACCGTTGGCAAGGTATCCGGGTGCGTCAAGTTCAGCAAGTCCTTCTTGGCCAGTGCAAGCTCAGGTTTCCATTTCGTGAGATACAGAGAATGACCTGGTGCCTCAATCTCCGGAATGACAGTGACACCTCGAGAAGCACAGTGACTCTGTAGTTCCGTGAAGTCATCCCTCGACAGTGTCTCATTCTCGCGCCCATGAAGAATACCCCTCAGTGATTCATCCTCCGGCAACAGCGAGAAATGCGAGTAGACATCCCTCCAACTCTCATTCTTGCCACGGTTCAGCGGATAGTTATCACTAAGATGATAGTGAAACTCATTCATCTTGAAGAACGAAGCATAGCTGCACAGCTCTTTGAGAAAGTCCTTTGAGTACCACTTTCTCCCTGCATCAAGCATGTATCCTCTGGTAGCATAGGCTGGAGCATCTCGACCAAGAGTACTAGTAATCGTTCCATTACCAGCGAGGAGGAGCTGAAGAAATGTTCTGGTTCCCCACCACATTCCTCGAGCGCCTGATCCACCGATGAATACGCGATTGGAGTTGATGATGATTTCGTATCCTTCTGATGTTGGTTTTCCGTTTTCGTATGTGAGATCAGAAGATTCACCGGTGTATGAACCAAGAGAGATTCCACTTGCGTTGTTGGGAAGGGAGTCGACGCGCTTCAACGTCCAGTTGGATCCCGTGATCTTTGCAAGATCATCTTGAAAGGTTGTCGCGAACTCGTGGGCAGTAGGTGGAATCAAAGTAAGACCATCGTCATCCGACACAGACGCAAACTTATTATCGATGTAAATGACTTTTGGACTCGAGTCAACAGACCAAGTCTCTTCCACAAAAGAATCAGCTTTTTCAAGAATCGGAGGGATGAGGTCTTGTGCTACCGCCAACAGAGGCGAAGCAAGCAGAATGCCTGCGACCAGATATTCCTTCAACATGACGCCACTCTACTTAGGCTCGAGATGTAAAGTGCAGGTTCTTTGCTCGCATCATAAATCAATCGGGGGTATCGTATTTCTTGCTTGTTGATTGCCGATTTTGGTGAAGTTTGGGTCTTGACTCCGCAATAAGTGCGGGGATGTTTACTTGATTGTAACAACGCGGATGTAACTGTAACCATGAGCTCTTATCACCCACTGCCACTGACAAAAGATCCCGACGCGCACCTTCTTGTTTAAGCTTGGGCTTTAAGTTGGCTACCCTGGTCCTGTTTTAACTTTGACAATTCTGACTATGACTTCACGATTATGTCTGTGCCCAGCGATGCTGAGGCCAGTCGAACTCAAAGGGAAGTAATTTATAGACTGTTATACCTAAGACTCATGGTAAATTCAATTGAACAATAGTCACTGCGCCTGAGTTACCAACTATTCAGTGTGAACAGAGTGATCAGATGATAACACCTGACAACCGAAATTTGGTATACAATGTCATGAGCTATTATCTATTCTAATATGAGCATTAATAATACAAAGAAATCATAAAAAAAAAAAAAAAAAAAACAGTTTTCGCTTCAAAGACTCGCTCGAATTCATGCCAACTCGTATCGCTGCGTCAACGGTCGCTTCTGCTGCGACTCATGAACATACATCTCATATATCCGCCTCTCATCTGCTGACATCTCATACGGAGGCAACTTATGCCTCGGAACATGCATCTCTTGCGGCGGCAATGCACTAGGCCAATTTACCGAAAAGCCATCAGAGTTATCTTTATAATGCGTCGGTTGCGTCTCAGATGGTTGACGTTGAGCTCTACGGCGTCGTCGCCAGAACAAGATGCCCAGTCCAAGAGCGATGAGACAGAGTGCGGCGCCTGCTCCGACGGCAATTCCGACCTTCGTAGCGGTCGGCATGGAGGGTTTTGATTCAACTTCACCTTGTTCTGAGGGACTGGTTGCCTTGGTTGGGGTGCTCAATGGTGATGGGGCCGGCTCATCGTCCCAGACACCTTTCCAAGAAGCTTCCCAGTCGTTTCCACCCTTGCTGATAGTCTTATCTTTGACTTCAATCGACGTGACGTCCGTCGTAGCTTGAACTCTAGGACCTGGTGCTTGGGCTAGCCACCACCTGTTGGCATCAGGATGCCAGTTCGCTCCGATGAAAGCATCTTGTAGAAAAGATCGTCCAAGGACATATCTTCCATTATTGTTTACGTGGCATGGGAAGTAGGGGATAGGGTTATCGACGATTGGCTCGGAAAGAGTGAGGTTGAGATGCATAAACGGAACCCTGATCTTGACGGGGTCGGTGTTCGTGTCTGATATGAACGAGAATGACAAAGCAGTCGCAGAGTTGACGATCTTGTCGTATTGATCTGACTTTGTGTCCCAGATGTAGAGACCAAGGTCAGAATTGAAGTTGACGGGAAGGTGTTCGGCGATGTTGTCGCAAGAAGACTTTGGGAGGGTGAGGTATGGAGAGCATCCGTCCACAGTGACTTTCAGACCGCTAGTGATAGAGGAGTTGCCCTTGGCCAAGAGATTATTCTTGGACTTGGAAGTAAACGGCGAGTGATCTCCAACACCTTCAATGGCAATATCCCAAAGTGTGATGCCGTCACCTCTCGGACTTCCGCTGAGCGTGAGCACTTCCCCAATAACGCGGTTCTTATCGTAACCACCGAACCAGAGAGACCCAGCAACAGAGGGCTTGACGGATCCGATGTGCATACCATAGGAATTGGAAGGTGTGTACTCGTTCTCCCAGAACCATCCAGGTGGCATACTGCCATTGGTAGCAGGTTTTCCATCTGGTTGTTCAAAAGATTGATTGACGGATCCTGGGCCACCCAAGCTCAGACAACCCGCAAAGAAAGGTACGGTCTGACCACCTGGATATTTAATCTTCTGCGCGTCAAGCAAAGCGATAGTCGAGTTGATAGTATTAATCTCGCCAAACATGATATCGTCTCTGTATCGAATACTCGTGTCGCCTTCGAGATTCACACCTTGCATGAAGTTATCCAGTTCCACGAGGATATTCAAGCCAGTTCGATCGCCGGTTCTTTTGTCGTAAGTACCTGCTTTCGAAGCATAGCACGTTCCTCGTTCGCAGTAATCATCGCTGATGAGCCATGTTTCCCACGTTCCGCCAGGATATAGTGAAATAGAGTTGGGGCTGCTTCCAATCTGGACATTGACACCGCGCCAGGGACCATCAGGTCCAAATGTGTCGTCAGTCCATTGGATTTCTCGAGGGACTTGGGCGGCAGATGTGAGGATGATAAGGATAAACACGGGAAAGATGACTTTCCAGGCCATGGTCAGTGACCCGCCTCTGGGAGGCATTAACGAAAGGATTGATTAAGGTAGTGTAACAAAGAACGAAAGAGAGATTAAAAAGATTGGAAAGCAACGGGTCATGAGCACATGCAACGATAGTCACAGGAAAACAAGAGCAGAGGGAGATGGGAGGGACGAGCACATAACCATAATTAGAATTTGCAAGGCTCAACCAACACGATAACAAAGTCTTGGGCGTCACCAGATGAGCAACCTATCGTTAGCCGGTCAATTTGCCTTGGCCCACTTGGTGTTGTAAGAGAACAACCAACATGCATAACGGATTCTTAGCCCAGGGCGCTCAGATAAGTGACTGTACCTTTATACACAGAATAAGCGCTGGATATATGACTGTGATGTCCCTCAATTAGGTATATATACTTGTTAGCGGCACGCGATGATTAAAAATAATGAGTTGGCTGTTGGGCTCAACCAACAGACATTATGTATGGCACGGTGAGCGGTTTCAGAAGAAGTGCGTGTCAAGCCAACAAGATATCATGCCATGAGGCATTAAAATAAAAAGATGAATTAAAAATTGACGAGAAGATGGCAAAGCAGAAATAAGCAAAGTTAAGCATAAATGAAGCTCGCGATAGTAATAGATTCCAAGCATACACGAAGTAACAGTAACATCATGCCTCAAAAGAAATCTCGCCATCGCGGTTATCAACCTGAAACAACCCAAAATAAACGACCCCTGTCTCTGCCTGTCTCAGCGGTTAACGCCGCTAAATGGTTGGACGTTTGAAACGTGGTGGGGAAGCGAGCAGCCACTCGATTTGCCAAGAAGCTATTGGCTAGCACAGCGCTTATCGACGATCACAGGGGTCTAAGCGCCCGAGACCGACGACCGCATGTGCTGAGCGTTACTCCTTTGTCTCCTCAACTGTTCAGCTTGTTTTGCATTCTGCCTTTTAAGCATCAGTTGCCGTTCAAGCTTATTTCTTGTGCTGGGCACTATTCCCTCTTTGAAACATCGTCTTTTTTGATTAATGTCTCTCTGATTGCGGGTCAATCTCGGGAATAGCTTTTCAGTTTTCAGCACACCCTTGATCATCACAATCCTTTGCTCAAAGGTCGAGCAGCGTCTTTCTCTTCCATATCATCATGTCGTCAAAGCGGCATCGCGTTGTTTTCGTCGCAGCTCTTACTACACTATTTTTCTTCTACCTCCAAAGCCAAACAGGCCGAACATCATCATCATGGTTATCACATCCCGAAAAAGACGTTGACTGGTCGCATTTCGCGTACACACAATATGTCACCAACAGCCAGTATTTGTGTAACTCACTTATGTTCTTTGAAGCTTTGAAGCGTCATGGAAGCCGACCTGATCGTGTTATGATGGTCCCTGAAAGCATGCTCGAGCCAGAGATGGTCAACTCAAGTGATGCGTATCTGTTGAACAAAGCGCGCGATGAGTACAACGTCAAGCTTGTTCCGATTACCATTCAGACTAACTGGGCGGGTGATGGTAAGTTGCCCTAATGGGACCTCAGAATATGACTGATTGGCTTTCTAGCTACGTGGGCAGACTCATACACCAAGCTTCTGGCATTTAACCAGACGAATTACGATCGTGTGCTGTCCATAGACTCAGATTCTCTCCTCTTACAAGCCATGGACGAACTGTTCTTCCTGCCAGATGCACCTGTGGCGATGCCTCGAGCATACTGGATATCACCAGAGAAGATCCTTTCATCACAACTCATGCTCATCCAGCCTTCAGAGGTAGAGTTCTCCCGCATCATGGAAAGAGTACAGTCCGTAAAGTCTGGCGAGTACGACATGGAAATTATCAACCAGCTGTATGGCGATAGCGCCTTGATCTTTCCCCACCGCCGCTATGATCTCCTCAGTGGGGAATTCCGTAACGACAAGCATGCGCACTACCTTGGTTCAGAGCTTGAAACTTGGGACCCTGCTGCGGCGTATAGCGAGGCCAAGCTAATTCACTTTTCGGATTGGCCGCTGCCAAAACCTTGGAAGCTTATGCTTGAGGACGATAGACTTGCGGCACAACCAAATTGTACACAAAGAACAAGCGGCGAAGAGGATTGTACTGCAAGGATAATTTGGAACTCGTTATATACTGACTTTAGAGAGAAGAGAAAGGTTCGTCCAACGCTACTGACTATCCCTTTTCTGCATACTGATCAGCGCTTCCTAGGAAATATGTGATTATCGTGTAGAGGCAAGAGAGTCTGCTGCAAGTGGAACGATGCTGATCTAGAATTTGAGAGATCCAGAGAGCGGAAATCTGAATGGTGATTTGTTCAGTAACCGGGATATCGCACATAACGAGTATGAGTAAAGATCAAAGTAATTATTTAGAGAAACAGAACATAGAGCTCACCTTAACGCTGTCAAACACTTCTGCCCTTTGTCCTAGATGTTCACACCGGACTCAGGACCCATTATTCAATGTACCTCGAACACTGACCGACAAACTAAAAGACCAGAACAGATAGACTTAGAAAAAGACAGAGGCCACTTTCAGTTACTCGACATGTTCAAGGATAACGATAATTTACAGAAGTCATCTCAGAAATATCAAGTACAAAGGGAAATATTGAAAATATATGTTGAACAAATGAACAAGTCTAAGCCATTTTTATCGCCTTTAAAAAGCATATATCATCTTCGTTTCTAACTTAGCAAACATCACCAAGACATCATCGACAGTAAATCCTGTCTACCCCCCTGCCCCCACTAATACTATCATTAGGTACGCTAAAATCTCTCTAGATACATCATGAATACCTTCAAAAACATCACCCAGAAACTCAAGGAGCTTCGAAAACCCCCCCAACCCAGAGCTGTGGACCGCTGTAGCAACAGGATTGTAGATGTCGTGACGGAAAGCTTTTGGCCTAACATCCGGAAGCACATCCTCGCCGACGATCCGAACGCTACACCGATCAAAGCCCTCTGTCCCGTGTGCTGGGACGAACTACACGTAACGTGTATCTCCTCCCCCGATGACAAATTCAAAACCGGTCTTGTTGCGCCTTGCGGCCACATCATGTGCCCTGCATGCTGGCCACGCAAGATTTCTGACCTATCACACACTCTCTTTGAAGAGTGCCGCAAGTGCCCTGTCTGCCAGACTCTACTCGAATGTTTCATCTGCCATAAGGCTTGCGACAAGGTGGCAATTCCCAGGTTTGGTGGGAGGGCTAGTATCGAGTCTTTTCGTGAGACAGCCCCGGAGTGCGAACGGGAGTACCGCCCTTACTGTAAGGACTGTGCTAAGCCTTACCATCAGAAAGGAGATGGTTTTTGGTTTGACGGCCCCGAGGATCGGGGAAGCATGAATCGCTCTTGACTTTGAGGCTGAAATGTGCAAGGTAGGTTAACCGTCGGTTACATATGCCGGAGTCTTTGATGGGCTTGCAGTTGGCAGTGATACTTGCTTTTAGGGCTCCGCGTCTAGATAGAATGGAAAACTCATTTGTATGATCTGATTGCCATATCTCCACTTACTTTTGTATTTCATTGCTCGATGAGAAATCTCAATACAGAAATTACTGTATATGTAAAATTGTAGTAAATTGCCACTTATAATGGACCTTGTATGTTGAATGTTTGTTGCTGCTCATACATAAACCTAAACCTGGTCCGTAGTATACCAATGATGTTTTTAAATTTGGGCTAATTGATTCTGTGTTACCCTTCTACACCGGAATTATATCCAATGACTGGTCTTTACTGCCATGGAATAGATAGCAACCCTAAAACAAGATCCTCTGAACTACTTTGAAGTGCCCCTCGGCCGAGGCGAGAGCCAGTAAAGTCCTCCCTTCTTTATCCCTTATTTACAAATTTGCTTTACCCTCATCCAAAAGTAACTCAGCAGCCCCCAGGTGCCCTTTCAATGCAGCATGTCCAAGCGGGGTAATTCCATCATTATCCCTGTCATCAACATCAAGCCAAGTTTGCCAAGCAACACCCGGATTATCTCTTCATTTCCCTGTTGAGCTGCGTGAGACAATGGTGCAAGTCCATCCTCATCTCTCACAGCGAGGTTGGTTTGCTCCAGAGAAACAAGCTGCCTGACTATTTCTGTTTGCCCCTGTAGGGTGGCCCAGAATATCACTGTCCTTCCTTTCTGACCCTTCATGTTCACCGCCTGTTTGTACTTCAACAGTATGCTAGCCATGTGCCATTTGCTCTGGTAAGCAGCAAGCAGTAGTGGTGTACACTGGAAGCTATCCACCACGTTGAGTTTTGCTCGACCTGTCTCCAGAATCAGTCGCAACATATCTACGTGTTCCATCCAAATACAGTTATGAACGCGCATTCTCCCATAAATGTCCTGAGTGTTTGTATCAGACTGAGAGCTATCGAGCAGATATTTCCAAGCTTGTATTTCCTCTCAAACAAGCCAATGACAGCGGTGTGCGGCCGTCTTTATCCTTCATGTCAACACTCGCCTTTACCGTTGCTATTAGAGCATTGGTAATAGGAGCTGAATGCTCTTGAACGGCGTGATGAAGTAGTGTATACCCGTCAGTATAGGCTGCGTTCAGGTCCACTGAATTTGTTCTCAAGAACGGAGACATAGCATCCGAGTCTAGGGTCAAACAAGCCAGGACGAGAGGCCTAAGCCCACGGCTATCTCGGCTGTTGACGGGCGCATTTTCTGTTTCGAAAATCTCCTTGATCATATGGTATGATCTTTTTGTGACAGACCTGTGCAAGTTAGTTTCGCCCTTGTCATCACATAGATCGAAATTGATCTTTCTTGATCTCAGCATAACTTTCAACTTGTCGGCCCAGTCGTCGGCCCAGTCCTTGTCGGCGGCCCACTAAGGATCGATCGCAAGAATGGCCATTGTACAATCATGAACGCTCAAGTTATCGTAATAAATATAGAGCATTAGCCTAAGAGTCGGGCAAGAGTTGTATCGAATAACCCAAGAGTATGCAGGATCTTGACGATGTACTCTGGCAGTGACGATGGCCACCCCTGTCCTCAAGATCAACTGAGCAATATCGTCCTGTTTCCAACGAGCAGCTTGGTGTAAGGGGGTCAACCTAGCTAGATCTGGTAAGTTAACATCAGAGCAACCGGTTTGCAGTATGAGCTTTGCTATTTCGAATTGACCGTATCGGGTAGCCAAGTGAAGGGGTGTCATCCCAGTCTTGTCTCTAATATTGACATCTGCTTTGTGATCCAGAAGAAGTTTGACGATCCTATTGTGTCTGTAGTTGATAGCCCACATCAGTCGAGTCTAGCCTTCACCATCCTTGAGATTGAGGTTTGTGTTCCTTGCTTCTAGAAGCACTCTCACCACATGAATGTGGCCGTACTTTGATGCGGACAGTAGAAGCCTCTCACCCTGTTTATGCTCTGCGTTGCTGAGAAAATCTCTTCGTAGGACCAGATTTCCTATCTCAGAATATCCGCTTGTGAATGCGTACGATGTCGGTGTTCCTCCCAAGACATCGGGAATATCAACCCACGCGCCAGCTTCGACCAAACGGCGAACGACCGATATGTATCCATTCCAGATAGCATAAGTAAGGGGCGTTCGGTTATCCGAGTCCAACTCGTTGATCTTGGCCCCTTGCCGAAGGACGATTCTCAAGGACCGAGGACCAATCGATAAGCCACGGATTAGACGTTCCACAACACCATCGTGGCCATTACCCGCTGCCCAAGATAACGCTGATCTATAGTAAGGCCTGTCCGTTCTGTTCAGCTGGATAGTCGGTCTTTAGAATTCGCTTCACAACTACTTCAAGTCCAAAATAAGATGCCGCCATCAAGGTTGTAAAACCTGTAACGACCCGGGCTAGGTATACAAAGTATATTAATAACTCCTTATCTCTATACTCCGCGGCAGCAATAAGATGACAAGCTTTCAGAATACCAATCAAGCATAGGGTGCCTAAAACTCAGAGATTCGATTATCTCAGTGCTACTTGGATCTTCCAGTATATTATCATAGTAACTGTCTGAATGATCAAAAGAAAGTTCTTGCACATTGAGACAAGCCGATTGCTAAATGGATGTCATTAGATTCTTTTCCAACCCCACCCCAAGGGGACACGAAATGGAAGAAATTACGTACAGCGGAGAAGGCCAAAGGTCCTCTGCTAGGGGTTCCATCATAAGCGAGGCTATAAAGTTGGCGAAACCTGGACTCTTGTTCAACATGTTAAAGAAGTCATCCCTCTCATGGACAACCTTGGGATCCAAGGAGTGGATTCGCTTCTTCCCATCGATGGCTTGCTTCTGTACACGCTGAACAAAGTCTTTGCGCCGAACTGTGGCGTATTGATCCAGAAGTTTCGGCCATTTTGTAGATGTCATGTTCTCGGGTAGAAGAACCAGAGGAATAACACGGGCGAGGACAGCGGCATCTACGAGGCCTGTGGTTAGACCAAGGGCCGTGAGAGGATTGTTTAACTGTTCAGTCTGTGAGTTATAGGGCTTAAATGGGAGAACTAAGCAAGAGATCTCAACTTACGTGAGCAGCATCGCCACACAGCACAACCCTCCCCGACCGAAACGATTGTGCCACTTTTTCGTGAGCCCAGTAGGGATTAATCGCATCAATCTTGTAGTCTAGTGGCCTCGGACCAGGCATCAACCGCTCCAACTTCGCGATAACACTCGGCTCGACGTTGGCTGGCTTCAGGTCTGGCGGGATTCCCAGAGCAACACGCCACAGGCCCTCCTTCTCATTGCTGGCCCGTACAATAACGGCCCAATCCTCAGGGTCGATTATGTGGTTTGCTGCAGGGTAGCCGTACTTGGAAAAGTCGTAGTGGATGTTCACGGCCACGAACTGCCAATCTTTCCACGTGAAGCCCTCAAAGGGAATCTGCAGCGCCTTGCGAACGGCTGAGTTGGCGCCGTCACAGGCGACCATGAATGGCGCAGAGACTGTCTCTGCACCGGCGACACTGTCTAAGTGAACGTGAACGAGGTGATCATCCTCTTCATGATACACATACCGCGTATTGTACCGGATAGAGAAGCTGGGACACTGCAACGCGTGACGAAGCATGATAGAGCTGAGCTTTGCCTGGCCAAGTTGGACGCCATAGTCCACTGAGCCTTTGGAGGATCTCCCTGGCGGAATCTTTGCCAGCACTCTGTTGGTACCACTATACGGCGTTCGGAAACACAGACCCTCGGTATTCTTAAATCCTGCAGCCGTTACCTCGTCCAATATGCCGACTTTGGCAAATTCGTTGAGGACAATGGGAAAGTTCCTCCTTTATATCAGTTTCGAGAGACTCAGAGAAGGGAAGATGAGGCAAATCCTTACATGAGTGCCCTGGGACTTTGGGGGATTTCTGCCGCCTTCTCGATAACGAGAACTTTTATGCCTTTGAGTGCTAGATTTAGACCGAGGAACAGACCAACAGGGCCTCCTCCTACAATGATCAAGTCGTGCATTTTTGCCATCTTTGTCTCTCATAGGACAAATATACCAGTAACTTGAAGTAGTACCGGATGGATATATCAAACCAGAGAAGCGCATATGAATAATTGTTTGGGGGACCGCTTCGAGCATCATACTTTGTGTCCACAGGATCGGGAGGTCAAGCGACAATTCACTATGGATAGTCATCAACAAGGGAGGGGATTCGGGTAATCATGCAGCTAGTGTCAGCACCAAGCCCACATGTATGTGGGTTATCAAAGCACGGCACTGATCGTGGAACCCCTGTCAGTAATTATGAAATTACAAGCCGACAGTTCATTTACAAAATAGAACTTCAGCTACAAAAGAAAAGAGATGATAGAGGTTTAATACCCAAGAACAGCAATAACCGCTGTCGTTCAAATTGGTAGCTACTAAGTCTCCAGATCCGGCATGTGCTGGAGTATTCCATGCTCAAGACGCAAGACAAAGCCTTCAAAAAGAAACCTTCTTTTGAAGCCATAGTATAATTTTGCTTCTACATATATCATGATCCTGACTAGCGATCATGAGCTACTGAAAACTCAAATTGGTATTAAGCCGCTGAACTCTACATTTGACAATAGCCACGCCTCTCTAGATTGTATACAGTGCCGTGAGGATAGCTTATGTTTCGATTTGGATACCCTCGTAATTCTGACACTGGAATGACAGTAAATTGATGATATACTTCATGGTTCTGCTGTAGAACCGCTGGTGAACGGCATATGCCTGGTTGAATATGAGAAACTGGCTTCGCATTAGCTATAAACAGGATATATTAACAATGAACCTTGTGGGCTGGCTTACCTGACATAGACTGAGGAATATCTGGGGGAATTTCTCCAGCGTGAGTTGTACCTGGACATGCGCAAGTCGGAGTTCGATGGTGACGAGGACATCTAATAACGTGCGGATAAATCGATTGGTCACTATTAGGGTGGCATGAGTACCAGGGACCGTGTGACCCGATCTATCAAGATACAGGGAGCAAGAATGACTTCTGTTTGACCCTGAAGCTCTTTCATTGTCACAGATGAGCATATCCTGCCACGATGTGCCGCACGTGGAGCTGTGATGAAAGGGCATTGAGCTGGTGACACATCCGCAGCCCATGCCACTGGTTCCATGAGGCGAAAGCTTGCCTGGGAATGGAGCAAAGGGCATAGAACTGTGTTGAGTTTCGTCTTGCCATAGACCATGAGAATATGGCGCGACGTCTGGAGAAAAGCTCAGAGGGGTTGAAAGGATATCGGACTGCTGGTCTTCTGGCGTTGGCACCATGGATATATCGGCTGGTAGTGACAGCGGTGAAGATAAAGATGATGGCTCCGGCGATATTTCAAGCGGCATGAAAAGTGGTGAAGTTGGCGTTGGCGTTGGCGTTGGCATGTAGGTCTCTTGTTTTCCTCGGAGCATGTTCTCAATAAGTTGCTGCTCGAGTGAAGAAACATAAGCCTTGTGCTTTTTCCCTGTACACATAGTGAGTATCCGTTATGTGGAGAGGAAAAAGAACTCCGTACTGTGGTTCCGTTGGGCTTGACGGTTCTGCAATCGTCTTCTCTCTGTTCTATCTGTTGCATCTGTGGCCTTGCTGTCATCCGTGGGCAGCCATTCTGAGAGCTCCATGAGATTGTCGATCTCAGTTTGCTCTAGGGTATTCATTTCCACCAAAAAGGATGTGGGTTTGAAAGTCGGCTACTATGCAACCTCCGTGTGGTGCAGCCACAAGTTGGGGATGCCCATATTAGGAAGTGACACCTCTGCAAATGGGGTAGTAGGTAAATAAAAGAATGGAAAACGGTGGGATTTCATTCCCAGACCTTGTTACTGACAGATCACGCATAACATAGCCTCCTTTGCTCTACGCGATGCTCAACTCTATTGGTGGTAGTTAGGCAACTTTCGGGCCGACGTTGAAACCTTGTTCATCCTCCAGTTACTAAATGGGACGCGAGGCCATGCCATCGTTCATGATCACTCTGTAGCACCGACACTTCTGGGACAATCATTTCAGCACATGGCATCCATCTTGGCCGCGTTGACCACGTTGGGTAGCTACCATCTCATAGCTTGGGGGTCGCTTCTAGGGACGCAACTGTACCAGGTGAACGCAGTTCTTGGATCGACTAGGTGTCGTGTACTAACTACTCACTGTGCCTGACAGACCTTTGCCATGACCAAAATGTGCTATTTGTACCTTCCACGGGCACAATTCATGACTCTTCAGAAAAAGGTATTCCCAGTGTATTTCGCCGCCGAAACGGCACTGGCCGTTGCCACAGCCGTTACGTATCCGGGAGGCTCGATAATGGCATTGCCGTCCAACCTTGCCGATTCTGCTCTACTAGGCACTACTCTGGGCATGTCGGTACTGAACCTTCTTGTCTATGGGCCAAGGGCGTCTGCAGCGTTGACGAGTAGAAACCACGCAGGTAACCAAAGTCAATAGAAGCGGTAGTTGAGAAGGGTAAACTGACACAAGCGTCTCCTAGAAACCCGCAACGGTCTTCAGCTCGGCTCCAGCAGCGAATTGTCAAATGATGGCCTCTCAATAGATATGTATCGAGCAAAACGGCAGTTCTCGACCAATCATGCAATGAGCATACACTTAAATCTCATTGGTATCATGAGCACCATCCTGTATGGTGTATTACTTAGTTCAAAAATGCCCTAGCGAGGAGATTTCTGTATGGCCGATAGGGTGCATTTGGCGGCAGCGATATGGACTAGGACTAGCCTGGATCACATATTCATGCATGCAATGTCAGCGTGGAAAGCCATAGTGCGACGGCGCATATTAGGTACCTACAAGGGATAGTTGCAACGGTTGGTTCCGTAAAGGAATATATCTAGTGAACCTGGTCCTCTGATAGCAAAACAAACATCTGCCAAACACCAAAATTCCTTCAGACCCGTATTTATGCCATGTCAAGCATGAAAGCCCTTGCTGTCACAAAGTTTGGCGAGCCAGCTAGGCTGATCGAGAGACCCATTCCTGTACCAGGCCCTGGAGAGGTTCTGCTCAAGGTTGTTGCTGTTGGATGTAAGTGCTCTGATTGGATTTAGCCTAGCGATCCCATGCTGACCCTTTTACGGTGAATCCGTACGATTTTCGAGCTAGAGACTTTGGACTATTCGTTGATCCGAATTCACTGCCCATGGTTCTCGGGAACGACATCGCAGGGATCGTGGCTGCTTTCGGCCCCGAGAATAACGGCGTTGATCTGCAGATCGGGGATCTTATCTTCGGGCAAAGCAACCACGGAAAGCGAACTGCCGACCAGTCCGGTCTCCAGGAGTTCTGCCTCCTCGACACTTGCGCCACGGCCAAGATCCCATCGGGCTTCACTGCCGACCATGGGGCCAGTCTTCCTAGCAATGCCGTGGCTGCTTTTTGGGCCCTCTTCAACCAATCAGCTCTTGGTCTGCCCCCGCCTTTCAACACCGACTCAGACCAGGATCAGCATATCGAAGGAAATTGCATCGTGGTCATAGGCGGCGGGTCCAACTGCGGTCGCTACGCCGTCCAGTTCGCCTCTTTATCTGGTTTATTCTCAACCATTGTCGCTGTCGCGGGACCGAGGCACAGCGCAGCCCTTCGTTCTTTCGGGGCTACCCATATTGTGGACCGGCACGGCGACGAGTCCGAAGTAATAAACAAAATCCGAGATATTGTTGGTGATGATTGTATGTATGTTATAGATGCAGTCAATCACGAGCATACGCTGGGCGTGGCGTGTCTGTCAAACACCGGACAGGGGAGGATGGCGACGCTGTGCCCCGGTGAGGCGGATTTGGCGAGAATTCCCGACAAGAAGGCGGGCTTCACAAAGGTCTTCTCGTCAGGCGCGTCTCAGAACTCACCGGACCTGGCGAGGGGATTTTGGACTGCTTTGCCTGAGTGGCTCAAGAGTGGGCAGGTCAAGACTCTAGAGTGGGATGTGATTGACGGGCTCGAGGAGGCGGCAATAAATGCTGTTTGGGATCTGTACAGAGATGGCAACGCTCCAAAGAACCAGGTACATGTTCATATCTAGAGCTTGGTGTTTGAGTCGATGGGCAGAATAGACTTGGAGCCGGGCAAATTGAGCAAGTATACACACATCTCCAGAACACATTTCGCTGGCGCAATTCACTTGCTAGGGACGGCGAGGGACAGCCAAGAACTGAAAGTATTGGTCGAAAGAATAGAAGCTCAAGTTTCACTGCTCTAGCGATGTTTTGTCACTATGTTAATTAAATAGCTTCTACGTACCGCTTTCTATGCCAATTCCTCCAAGATAACCTTGCATTTTAACGGTGCAAGAATTCCCCCCTTTAGATTCACAGAGTTAGCAACACTCCCGTCTAACAATCGTAGGTGACTTACCGGGGTGAGTTTGAGTCGATATTCAGGGTCCACGGTCCATTTCGTCCTCCTCAGCAACTCGAAGAGAGCAACCTTGGTCTCCAACACGGCAAAGTTGCTCCCGAGGCACTTTCGCGTATGAGCGTTGAAAGGAATATAGTTTCCTTTCACCTGCTCTCTCCTGTACCTTGCCTTTATGTCCTTGATGTTGTCACCCCATCTCTCAGGAGCAAAAACCATGGCATCACTGCCCCAGACACCGCGGTCTGTCTGCACTCCATACGCATTCCACCCTACCCACGTCCGACCCGGGATCTCGATCTTGTCAGCGAGGACCGCAGGCCCGACGGTCACTCGGTTGATGAGCTGAGAAACGGGCGGGTACAAGCGCAACATCTCGTAGACGACGGCAGTCAAGTAGGGCATATCGTTGAGCGTCTCTGCGGTCGGGGAAACCACCTTCTTGGAGAGTGTCTCTTCTCGGAGCCTTGACTGTACGGTCTGATTGGTACCGAGCTCCCAGAAGACAGAATTGAGAAGTTGTTGCACATTCTCGTGGGCCGTTAGAAAGACAATTTTGAGATTAGCTCGGAACTGGGCATCGTTTATGACACCTTGGTCCAGCGCGCGTTCGAGCATGTGAATGACGAGCTCGCCGGACTGATCGCCAGGCTTTTCGCCTGATGATTTAACCTTGCGCGGACGGTTTTCGACCAGCTCAACGAGGAGATCCTCGAATTCTTTCACTATCGCGTATGCGTATTTGCGGGATCTGAAGAGCCATGCAAACTTGTCGAGCAGTGGAAAGTTGAAGAACAGAGGGTGGAACAAGACCCGCTTGATGATGGATTGAAGTTCCTCGATCCTCTGGCCGGAATAGTCAAGGCAGCCGAAGTCGATGTCGAGGAAGCACTCTCCCATGATTGCGATGGCCCATCGCTGTATCAAGCCATTGACCAAGATACCACCGTTACCGGATCCTGCTTGATTTTCGAGAAGCTTAGAAACAAAGGTCTTGGTCTTGTCGACTATAGGTTCTATGTTAAAGTCTTGCTTCTGAATCCCAGGTTTCATGACCGAGGTGTATAGCTTCCAGTCCGCGCCGTGTGAGTTGATGATGTTGTCGCCCACTAATGTAGCTATCACGCTCCAGGGAATCTTTTTCTGACTTCCTGCTTTTGTGTATATGTCCTCGTTGCGGAACATGTCGCTCAGGAATTCTGGGCGAGCAAAGAGGACGTTCCACCGGCCTGCGAAGAAGATCTTGACGGCACCATGCTTCTCCAGCGGCTCCCGTAGCCATTTCTCATAAATTTCGTCTTGGCCCATATTGCTCCATAGGCCCAGAAGGGACACGTAGATTGGTACGGACGGAATATTTCTTGGCATCTCCGATGGAATTCTGACCAGACCCCATAACAGCGCGGCTGCGCAGAGGAGGGTGAATACTAAGATGGAAAGCATATTTGCGACGTGTGTGATAAAGTCTGAGCTGGGTATGCTATGTTGTGAACAAGGAAAGATCACATACAAGGGGCCGTGCAAATACTTACTCGGAACTAGGCTGGATGGATGTCATTAACTGGAAATGATATCTCCCGGATAGGTCGAGATCGTGCCCAACAATGTGGTCTATTGTCTGCTAATTAAATCGAAACAAGCTCTTACACCAAGTGGTTTAATTTCGACGGCCTACCTTTAAGTTCTCTCTGCTGATTATGTTCTCAGCGTTGCACTAGTTATGCAGTGATGTAAGGTCCATGTTTGCACTGGATCTAGTCTAGACTGTTATCAATGATTCAATAACCAAACGTATTTTCTATGTACGTCCAGAGCCAGATGACATATTCGGTGGCGGTTTATCGTATAACAGGCCGCCTCTGACTTCTGCAGAGACGAAGCGCAAAAAGAAGAGATCCGCTGAGTGGTAACTCACTCAGCGGACTTCTAGGAGTATACCATGGCCCACAGAACCCAGACCGATGGCTAATGACCCCTGCAGCAACTATGAAGCCGGCCCTTGTGCTGACCTCACCTGCATATTCTGCCACAGGTGACAGTTTCATTAAGGGACAGAAGGATGGCTCAGGCCGAAAATGGGGGTAGTGGGTTAGTGAGTCTTGAATGACTTGATATCACACGTTTCCGACGAGTTCAATCCAGTCCGGCTAATACATACCACCTGCGTGCTCACGAACAAGCGCGGCAAAATCAATGATCAATCAAGATATCTTCCTTGCCCATTCTAAAATAGTACTGAAGCATCTACTGGTAGTTATCAGCCATCATGGAAAAACCACAAGGACATGAAAAGCTCGGTTGGCTTTCTGGAGTTATCGATGGCTCGCAAAAGGCAGATTCAGGCGACGTAGCTACCCAAGACACCCCAAGCCAGACTCTGCAAGACAGATGCGACGAAAGGCCCGTGGAAGATGCCAGAGCCAGAATTGCAAAACCAGTGGTAAGTGAATCTTTCCGATACGTCTGGAGCTTGTCAATCTGACGTTTTGAGCAGTGGGTTCTGATCGTCATCACGATGATGTCCTCGACCTTTCTGTTCTCACTCGACAACAGCATCGTTGCTGATATCCAACCAGCAATCATCAAAAGCCTGGGCGGAGTCGAGAAGCTTGGCTGGCTCGGTGTTGCTTTTGTCCTCGGCACCCTTTCCACGATTATCTTCTGGGGCAAAATCATGGGGCTCTTCAATGTCAAGTGGGCCTACATCACGTCGATTGTCATATTTGAGGTGGGCAGTGCTGTATGCGGCGCTGCTCAGACCATGGACGCTATGATCATCGGCCGAGCTCTTGCTGGCGTTGGTGGTGCTGGCATGTACGTCGGCTGTCTGTCTCTTCTGTCTTTGACCACTACGATCCGCGAGAGGCCGATATACATGGCCTCGATTGGCTTCACGTGGGGCGCTGGGACTGTGCTTGGCCCTGTGGTTGGTGGTGCATTTGCCGAGAATACACATGCTACATGGCGGTGGTCTTTCTACATCAACCTCTGCATCGGCGCTCTATTTGCCCCAGCATATCTGTTTCTCCTGCCCTCGAGCGATCCAAAAAGAGGTGTCCCGCTTTCCAGTCGTCTGAGACAGCTGGACTACATCGGAGTGGTACTGAGCATTGGCTTTCTTACTCCCTTCGTCATGGCCATCAACTTTGGCGGTACTGTCTATGCTTGGGACAGTGGACGAGAAATTGCTCTCTGGGTTGTGTCTGGTGTAGTCTTCCTGTCTTTTTGCATCCAGCAGAAACTTGCATTCATGACTACCAAAGAAGACCGGTTGTTCCCGGGAGACTTTCTGCGTATGTATGACATGTGGCTGCTCTTTATCTGCATGGGATCCGCGTCCACCAGCGTTTTCGTTCCTACCTACTACATTCCTCTCTACTTTCAGTTCGTGCGTGGAGACCAGCCGCTCGATGCCGGAGTTCGTCTCTTACCATTTATCTGTGTCATGGTCTTCTGCGGCCTCCTCAGTGGTGCCTTGATGACTAAATCCGGATACTATATGCCATGGTTCCTGCTTGGAGGCTGTCTGACCCTGACTGGCGGCGCACTCATGTATACCGTCGGTGAAAATACTTCAACGTCGTATGTCTACGGCTTCATGGCAGTCACTGGTGCCGGCGCTGGCCTCTATATCCAGGCATCTTATGGAGTTTCACAGGCAAAAGTGGCCGCTAACCGAGTTTCCGACGCTGCTGGCTTCATATCCTTCGCTCAGTATCTAGGAATCACCTTGTCATTGGCAATATCTGGCTCTGTCTTTCAAAGTGTTGCGTTCGACAACCTGGTGCCTCTTTTCCCTGGCGAGCCTGCCAGCAAGGTCAGAAACATCATCACAGGCGCTAGTGGTGACCTTTTTACAACATTAAAGGGATCGATGAGACTGGAGGTTTTGGCCGTCATTATCGATGCCATGAGCAAGACCTATATTCTAGTGATTACAGCAGGGGCTGTTACTGTCATTAGCGCCGCGCTTATGAAGGTACGTTGTTTTGGGTTCAGTCTCCCCATGATATGAGCTTTACTAACGTGAATAAATATCAAGCGGGAGCGCCTTTTCACCGAGTAGTCGGGTCAAGTCACATCAGTTCAAGGCGTCACGCTCACTACGAAACGCAAACTTGTGCGATTACCTTTTGGCTAGCATCTACAACGAGACATGAGAGGCTTTGATATTGTATCCTTCTGTTGCCTTACTTTAAGAAGATTTAGTCTTTGATGACTATGAGTTTTATACACAGTACATTATTTAATAAAAGCCTTGACATTATTCTCTGCAGACGAGGTGAAGCTTGGTGCAAACTGGAATTCTCTAAATAGTGTTAGTAACTGAGAAAGCAAACTGATAACGTCTCTGCTTACCTGCTAAACTTCCAGTTGCCTGCTGCAAGCATCGCCGACTTTGCTATGTTGGGTACACCGGGGGGGAATTGCTGCCGCTCTTCCACAGTCAGAGAGCGCATAAGATACGTCGCACACCACAGATGCCCATCCTTTTTCATTAGTGCCAGACGGCGTATTTTATCCTCCTCCTCGATACGGCCAAGGTCCTCTTGCAGAACCCTGGGTCCAATACCATTGAGAAGGGCTGCTTCGTCATCAAAGGTCGGTTCAACCTCTTTCCAAAGTTTCGTCAGCACCTTGGGCACGTTATCTCTGAACTGGGCATCCTTTGACTCGCGGGCTATGTTTAGAATCTCACTAGCCTTATGACATGTCTGGCGCAGCTGGCTGTGTACTTCCTCCCTCTTGTCTAACTCCTGGTTATACTTGCTTAAGAGAGGGAACCATGAATTATCAGCGGCGTCAAGGCGAGACTCCAGCAGGCTGATTGTATAGAGCGCATATCTGATAAAGTATTCCTTTTTGGACAAGTCTATAGTGGATGCCTTGGCTATGCAGGATTCTAAGCTTCTGCTGATAACTTTGTCTGTTAACGAAATTGACAGAAATGTCGGCGCTGAATCAACTCATTTAGCGATTGTCTCTCGGCAGTTATTCGCGGATACACAACGCTTACTTGTTTCTTGCAATGTAGCCAACATTGCTGCCACAGTTCTTCACACAAAATGAAAAGTGTGTTAGATATTTTCAATAAGAGGATTGCATAAAGCCAATACTTCAAATACCGCTACTCGCGCCGATGAATAGGGACAAGTAAAGAACAAGGGACAGACCATCCTTTGTGCTTGAAGGCCACTAAAACCAGAAACTACAATGCTTAGAGAATCAAGAAGAAAGGTCCCATGGGTGTGCCGTATCACGCTAGCTAATCCGAGGGGACGGGGCGAGCTGCTGACACAAGCTGCATGATGAGATTCCTGCTCGAATGAACCAGGATTTTCTTCCTGGCACTAAAGCCATACTTCGTCCGCTACAGGCTCTCGTATCCAATGGGAACCCCACGGGAATTTGGCATCGTTTTCCGGGCGTTCCACTGCTTCGTCTAATACCTTGAAAATGGCTGACGAGGTACATTCGGTACCCAGACATTTCAGTCCGGAAACGCGATGGCTTTTCGCTGACAATTCTCCACCGGAAGCTTGGGCGCCTTCACAGGCATTGTGTAAGGATTTGCTCCCCTTCTTACATACACGTCCCATAAGTAAATCTTGCTGACAGATCCTAACGATACACGTGTAATTCATGAAGTATCCGATACGCTGCTTTATAAATTGTATTTGTACCGTAGTTTGAAACACATGAGATATAACATATATAGATTCGTCGACTTTGTCCTGGTTAGCAATTTATCAATCAATCCGCAGAAAGATCTTCGATAACACTTCATTATGTCTTCTCTTACTCAAGTTTCCCCGTCCCCTCCATACCTCTTTAAGGACCCAGCTATAGTTGAAGCCACTCTTATGACTTTGCTTGCACGTGTTAAGATACTCGAGGACAGAACATCATGCGATTCAGCTGCCACGTCTACCAGTTCGAAGCAAGTCCTCCATGCACAAATTGAGCATCAATCTACGGAAAGTCTCTTGCCCAATGAGAGAATCTCCGTAGTTAATTTGATCCCCGATGGAGAAAAGACAGCCGCCATTAGTGTCTCTGAAGTCGAGAGCTTCGAAGATGTTGGCTTGGCCAACACAATCCTCGACGTCATCACATCTTACGGGGTCCGCGAGGAGCAATCCCAAGGAAAGCCTTGCGAAGCAAGAAAGAAGTTTCTCCCCGTCGTTTTGGAATGTCTCAAGGCGGAAGCCCCCATCAAATTAATTCTCCCAGCTTTCCCGTTCAAATCCCCCAACCGCTCTAACAAGGTTCTCGGTGCCCTTCCAGATCTTGGGGAAGCTATTGCGCTTGAAACCCTCCAAGGCCTCTGTGATAATATCCAAGACATATACGAACATGGTGCACATTGCTACATCACATCTGATGGTCTCGTTTATAACGGTCAGTCATCTTTATATCCTTGAGGTTTGGTTAGCTGAACAAGGAATTTTCATCTTAGATATTCTTGGAGTCGACGATCTGGACGTCTTGAACTACGGACAGGAGCTTCGTGATATGGCCAAGAGAAGAGGGCTTACGAGCCTCAAGTTCTTGCGGCTGGCAGACTTGCTTGCAATGGCTCCTCACAGATCGTCGGACACCCGCAGCAGGAAACTCTCAACTACTGAGAAACACGTGACATGTATCCGAAGAGAGTTCCTCGCTCGATATCTATCCCCCGGATTCGATGCTAGTGTCGCCATCAAGGAGGACATTGACACACGGCTGACATATCAGGGCTACCTTCGATTTCTGAAGAGGGATCTGGAGGGCTGGGAAGAGCTGAGATATGATGAGGCCAGAAAGCCTATCAGTTCCAAGAAGTCGCAAAAGATGATTGGCGATATCGCTAAACGCATGATTGCTCGGGGTGCAGCTTTTGCTGCTGCCATCAGAGATTCGTATGGCGATTGTGTGCGTCTTTCCATCCACCCTACAGTCGCAATCTCCAAATTCCCCGTCAATTTGATTCCACAACCTTCGGGCAAATTTGGCGCGACCCCATGGCACTCGACCATTGCCCTGGTCTCGACGGCTCATTCGAAACGGGCCACGCAGAGGACTTTGCCAACACTCATGACCTGATTTATCTCCACGGGAGACCATACTACTACCGCGAGAAGTCGGAGCTGTTTGACTGGGGTGACACCAAGGTCGAATTCGAGCCTATGTATCCTTGTGGTCTTGTCATCCGTCCTTCTGACGGTCCTCTATCCGCGCGGCATATTCCCATGGGAAAGGTCAAACAGCTGAGCATTAATCTATCACCAATAGTTCTACGTGGCTTCCAAGATACTCTCGACGAAGACGTCTATTTAGACAAAGCTCATGAGGCTGGTAAGGTCCTTCCATGGAGCTTTGGTATCATCCAGAAAGTCAAAGATGCTGGCGACAACACCAAGCAGGGCAACAACGTGACTTCCAATGAGGCCATGCCCATGCATTTCGATGGAATGTTCAAGTTCGAGGAGATTCAGGATCCTGTTACTGGAGAAACTCACAGAGTCCAGATTCCACCAGGATTCCAATTCTTCACCGCCCCTGTTGTTGCCCCCGAAGGCACGGGGTACACTCTCTTCGCCTCTTCACGGCTCTTCTTCAAGTACCTGCGTGCCCCATACAGTGCCGAAAGATTCGAAAAGATTCGATGGAACATGGACAACGATGGATTTTGGAACGCCAAGATGAAGGATCTGCCCTTGGTGGTCCGTCACCCAGGTAAGTGCCACAATACGACGCCCACCCTCAGCGCCAGGAGCACATTTAGTGACTGACTCCTTTTCCAACAGAAACGAATGCGCCATGTCTCCGTTGGCATGAGCCATGGGATGAGACCAAGACCAAGTTCTCCACTTGCACGGTTACACTCAGCAACGACGAGGCGGAGATTATCGATGTTATCACGAAATTGCTCTACGACAGGAGAGTTGTCCTGAGATTTACTTGGCGAAAAGGAGACTGGCTTGTAAATGACAACACATCGATGCTGCACACCAGGACAGGGTACACGAGTGGATGTGATAGAGAGCTGTGGAGGATCCATTTCGATTAGGTTTTGACAAGACGGAAACAGTTGATCGGGCAATTTCTGAAGTTGTAGTTACCTGGATTTCGCAATTGGGCTTCTTGTTCTAGCTTATCTTCATCATTTCAACGTCGATTTGTTCTATTGATCTCATGGCATTGTTTATACTCTAAATAGCCAAATGCTTACGAACTTCGGAACAAGGTTGTCATCCACAATAAATGCATTGTTATGAAGGATGGCGTTTGAACATGGTTCATCATTATTAGATGTATTCAATCTCGCGCAAGCTAGAAGACCGAACAAACTCCATGATCTGCATGGCAGCAGTTGCTACATCTCGACCCGCTACAAGTGACAAGACGTAAAGGCTGGCATCAATACCACTGGAGATTCCTCCACTGGTTACTATTATCGTGCCGTTCCCAAGGGTCCCTCCATCAACGTACCGAGCTCTGATCACTTCCGTGCCAATCTCCCCAATTCCGCTTGCTTGGTCACAAACATATCGTAAAGTGTCAAGCGCCTTGCCATGCGTCGTTGCCTTTCGCCCTTTCAACAAGCCAATGTATCCCAGAAGCAATGACCCCGTACACACGGAAAGGATCACGCGTGCTTTTCTCCCTATGCGTTCAGGGAGTGCTGCGAATGAGCGGATGAATTCCAACTCGGCGCTATCAGGTTCGCAAAGACCCTTCAATGTTCTCACAGGTCCGCCGGGTACAACGAGGATATCGTAGTCCATAATTCTTGTCAGCGCTTCTTGAATCGAAATATGGCGGTTCACGCAAAGGCTTCTGGATGACTGGATAATCGCGTCGGTAGCAATAAGTGTGATGTCGAAAATTTGCTTTGGATCTTCCGCACCAGGATTGTCAAGGACATTCGCAAAGACCTCATACGGCCCAGCGTAGTCCAGCACGTCGTGGCCGTGGAACATCAAAATGCAGACATTCATTTTGGGCATGGTAGTATCTTCTTGTCCCACCGTTGAGCATGCGGTTTGAGTAGATTGTTTTTAAGTATCTTCAAGTCTTGAAGCTACGATAAGTATAACTAAATGAAGGGCTACATTGTGTCGTACAACGGCAATGCAATACCTGCATGGAATGAAAAGTGACGTTAAGCTGATTCCTGTTTCTAGCTCTCTCAAGTCTAGAATGTGCGTGGGTGGTGGGGCGTTCGTATCATTGCTGACTTGGCCTGCATATCTATCTGGAGCAATCAAGGGCGGCACAGACCAGTAAGAACAAATCTTTCCTGGCATTGCAGGGGTTCTCAAGTATAGCGCCAAAATCAGGAATACCACAGATCCTAGCGCACAGTAGCTGTATGTACTGGGTAAAAGGCAAAAGTAGGGGCCATGATTTTTTAAGAGTGGATCGGATCTTCAGTATCGTCACTGTGGAAGCTCACTGTAAGTCAGGGGCCTTACGGGGCATTTATAGCTTATTAAGCGGATCATAGCGCCGGATCAGCCAATAAAATAACAGAAAATACAGTGTGTGTCACGGTGCAGAATCTTTTACGTACTGTAGGGCTACAGAAAGGTGGGACAGCTATTTCGCCAAAATGGCCTCTACTTTTGCCCTTTACCCAGTATGTCCTGTCAGCAGACAATCAAGAACCCCTGTAACTAACATCTAACTAGTTAGCTTGCTATCCATGGTAATGAGTAAGTTCCAGGTAAGTAGCAAACGACCTTACTAAAGCTATAGCTCAAGGCTTTCTAACTTTTAAACCGTATCGAAATACTACCACCGACGGCTTCTACTGGTCTTTCAAGTTTCAAGTCGCTTACTTACTTTATTCCACAATTATGTCAACCTCCGCCAAGCTCCACAACGTTGGTGTTCTTGTCTTCGACGGTGTCGATATCCTCGACTTTGCCGGCCCGATAGAGATTTTCTCCCATGTGTCTCACAACAAAAACCCGGATAATCCAGATCGCATATACAAATGCCAAACAATTGGTCGCAGCCATACAATCCGGGCTGCTGATAGTCTGACCGTCGCTGTCGACCTCTTAATAAATGAAGCCCTGCTCGACTTGCATCAATTCGACATCATCGTCGTGCCCGGGGCACCTCCCTCGATCATAACACCGCTATTGGCACCGGAAAGTCTTGAAATGCAGCTCGTTGCCGCTTTCGCAGAGCTTCAGCCTAGAAGCTGTGTGGAAAAGCCTCGCGTCTTGTTCTCCGTCTGCGTCGGTGCTTTTTTCCTCGGTGCAGCGGGGGCTTTGGATGGGCTGAGCGCTACGACACACCATAGAGCTTTGGAGAGGCTGGGACAAATATGCCGCGCTGTAGGAAAGGAGCCGGCTTCTATTGTCCAAAACAGATTTGTAGACGGGGGCCTCAGCAAGAATAAAGCTGTCTCAGTTGTTACAGCAGGCGGTATCAGTAGTGGATTGGACGCGGCACTGCATATCGTAGGCACACAAACATCAAAGGATATGGAACAATTTATCAGAAGAGTTATGGAATACTCTTGAGAGAGAGTATTGATTATTCCTGTGAACGGCGCATCTTATTAGGCAACCAGAATGTTATACCTAATTACTGATGCAGGTCGCCTTCTTATAGTAGGGGAAAGAATCGTTACCCCTGAGCTTCAGCAGCATCACCACCAGTCTATCGATTACATCAAGGCACACTATATCTGGTTACAAACTACCTTATGAAAATAAAAAGCTATATATCGATTATCATCGATGGCTACTCTATAGTAAGCAGAGTTTTGTGGTGAGCTTCTAGAGCGAATGGAACACAGAACCTGCTTGTCAGAAACCACCGACAACTAAATACTTAATTTAACCTTAAGCCTATCTCCTTGTACGATCCATTCTTTCTTCTCTATTAGTTTGGGGAGATCTCGTGTCACATTGATATATCGACCAGCCAGCCAATCTCTCTTCTCAGATGTCAAGTAAACAATAGAGTCACCTGCTAGTTCTGGTTTATCAGCAAACGCTGAAACGAACTGTCAGTATAGTAGGATGTTGACCAGATGGATATCATTGAACTTACCTTTACTTAGTTCTGGAGATTGAGGCCACTGTTGCAACACCATATCGGTGGCTACACTGCCTGGATGTATGGAGTACACCAACAATCCTTTGTCTCCATACTCCGCGGTAGCAAATTCGGCTAATCGAAGGGTGGCCAGCTTGCTGATCTGATATCCACTCAAGGTCGGCGAGACGCAATGCGCACCGATGCTACTGACGTTGACGACAGTCTTCTTGCCTTCGGAACTTAGCAACAGCGGAATGAACGCATGCAAGACTAAATACAGCCCCTTGGTGTTGATGTCAAAGTTCCGCGCCCACTCCTCATGATCACTATCAACAATGTTCCCATCGCCTGCGAGGATCCCAGCGCTATTGACCACAATGTCTAGACGACCGAATTCGGAGCGGATCCTTGCAGCTGCGCCATCTACACTGGCAGGATCTGAGACATCCATGTTGAGTTCCAGGACCGTTGGTCGCTTACGGCCTGCTTTGGAAGCAGCGTCAATAATCGAGGCCGAAGAACTGGAAAGGTCAGAGCGTGCTCCAATGGCGATGTGAGATGCGCCTGCTTTGGCAAACGAGATGGCCATGGCGAGGCCAAGCCCTCGACTTGCGCCAGTGATGAGGACTGCTACACCGTCGAAATTGAAGTTGGATGGCGAAATGGCGTCGTATGTGTCATTGTGTATCTCAGTGCTAACGTCACCGTCAACTGCCAGATGATCAGAACTCTTAAGTCGTTTAGACTTGCTATGTGACGGTTACCTGGGCCTTGGGTGTCTCTTCCTGACGAGAGCATCTTTCTAATAATATTGGGCAAAGAAGTTTAAATGTTAGGGCTTTGTAATAGGGTGGAGCAGAAGATGTAACATTCGCAATGTGACCAAGGCCCAGTCACTGAGGACCTTTTGTGCCCCCATGTCTTATACATATTCCAAGTACGGGAACCCGGGCGTTACGAGCTACCCGTCATAATATCCCATACGAGTAGGTCAAAGGTACCCGCGGTGGGATCGGGGTCGAAACCGTGTATTTAGTCTAATCCGCTCCGCTATACATACGCCTCAGGAACCCAGGTTAGCGAGCTCCGTCGAAACTCCGCTTCGGATTCAGCGTATTGCGGAGTGGGTTAGGATGCGGAGGGTTAACGTGTCAGGTATCTGGATCGACACTGCGGACTTTAATTAGCCTATGTAGATCACTGAGTATGAATCTATTTAAGGAATTCAAAACCAAGTTTTCAGTGTTTATTTAAGCTTACAGCCACAAGTATCAATTAAGAATAATACACCTTCAATCACTTATTCCTCTGAACAACTTATATCGCTCAAGCATGGCTAACTTACCGACCAAAAGTACAGCCCTTTGCGCCAACGAAGAGGGTAAAATCGTTATTCACGACCTTCCGTTCCCTGAGCCTCAAGAAGGAGAGATTCTCATCAAAGTCTTATACTCCGGCGTTAATCTATCTGACGTACGAAGTGTCGCATTCTTTGGCCTTAAAAACTATGCTCTTGGCGGTGAATTCTGTGGAGAGGTTCTCCAGTCATCCAGCCTTACCTCTACACCCTTCAAAGCCGGCGATATCGTAGCTGGTATAGTGGCTGCGGGGAGGTCTCGGGATCCCCGCCATGCTGCCCACCAGGAGTACATCACCGTTGAGCCCGACTGGGTCTTCAAGGTGCCTGAAAACTTGCCTCCTCAAGCCGCTGCTGGTCTTTCCATCGTTGTGCAGACGGCCAGTAATGCACTCTTCAATCATCTCGGGCTCCCACTCCCGCCGAGTGTTGCAGATGGTACCATTGATGAAGGGGCTTCTTCTCCTGAGGGGACGCTCGTCGTTTGGGGCGGCGCAACGGGCGTTGGCATGGCTGCCATTCAGCTTGGACGGGCTAGTGGTGTATCTTCAATCGTGGCAATCGCATCAGCTAGGCGGCATGACTTCCTAAAGCCCCTAGGTGCGACTTATCTCTTTGAATATCACGATCCAGACGTTATTGAAAAGGTCAAGAAGACCCTGCAAGGAACTAAGGGAACAATCTGGGGTTTCGATGCACTTGGAAGCGTTGAGAACCCTATATCACAAGAACTCCTCAAAAGCGCCATCCCGCCTCACGACAAAGTCCGACTGGCCACAGTACTACTAGCCCCTCACGAGGGCTTCGAAGCTGTCTTGGCGAGTCGACAATTCCATGTTGAGTTCAGTCTACCAGATGGTACTACTCTGAGGTTCCATAAGGACGAGACCCTTGCCAACAGGCATTGGAGAGGTTTTCGCTGGGTAATTGACAATTACGGCGGGGATTATAAACCAACACCGGTCAGAGTTCTTGAAGGATCAGGTAAAGATGCTATTTTTGAGCTCCATAAGATGTGGCATATGAACAATTTTGGAAAGGTGGTGCTTAAGCACCCTTTGGTCTAAGGACTATGGAGAATCTTTGGTCTTTGACTTCATGAAAGTACTATCTAGCTATGGCTATCAACAGTTCATAGTCTTTGTCAGTCTATCTCTTCTCTCGTGCGATGCATGAGAATAGCCAACAGATACATGGGATGCAGCAATCAAATCTCGCTTACCCTTGCTCGTCGAACTCGCTCTCCTGGATGGAGCATGTGGATTTTATAAATTACAAACCGTTAGTTACCAGAACCAGCCTTCCAAGTTTCGTATCAGATGCAGCACTATAAAACATAAGACGCATAGGCTTTGCCACGAAATCACCAACGGAGACTATTTTTAAGATTCTTTCCATTATCTGGACAAGTCCAAGATCCTAAAATCACTGCAACTTCTGTTCTGCGGAATCTATCCCTTTGATACATTCATCCCAGCACTTAAGGCATAAGCATGTAGATAACTCACAGTCACGATTTTCCAGCCTCTTCTGATCAAAAAAAGCTGATCCTCAACTTTCCTTTCAACGTCAGCAATTAGCCGCTCTTATCCTGCGAAGCTCGAAGTGAAGTCGCTCCCAGGAGCTTTAGGGAGGAACTTCTTATGAGGTCGCTCACGTCTTTTATTCCAACAGCGATAAATATAGCCTACGCTTCTGGCGAAGGCAAACGATATTGATCACGCGACCTCGGTCGCCGATGGCAGGCAACTTGAACTCTAATTATGCATTGATAACTTTACTATAGCCTTTTCATCCTTAAACTGGAGATTCTGCATGCACAGATGCTTGTGAAGCCCCATTTCTGTCTCCATACCATGACCTCCCGTCATAGGTATTCACATCATGGCTGACATGATACGACTTGGACACAACAATGTCAGCCATCCTCACAGTCTTCGAAACAATCGAGTCCTGGCTTCCCCTAGCACTCGGTCTCGATCCGTCATTAATACTCGGCGTAAGCTCATACGGCCCCGAGATATCCTGCGTAAGCGTTCTATTACCACCCCTCGTCCCGTGGGTAGTCGTCCGATACGAGGAAGTAATCTCACTCGGAGCATTGCCGTTCCAAAAGGACTTTGAGAAAATGGGTCGAAGAATGGGAATGTTGACGGTGAGAATTCCAACGATGGTTTCGCGAACGCCCCATGCGTTGATAGTTAGTGCAGATGGGTTTGCGGAGAGTGTGAGGACGACGCGGGTTATAGCTGCGGCGATTACGAATGCTCCTGAGGAGAGGAGAAGGCCGATGACGAGTTTTCTGGGAGTGTTAGAATGAGTTTGAGGGAGGAGAGAGGAAAGGAGACGGACTTGCGGAAGGGGACTTGGAGTTTCCAGAGCAGAGGCAATGGAATTCCGAGGATGAGAGCGTCGGTCCTAGAGAGTTAGAAGTGTTTGTAGAAGTAAGTGAATGGTTTCTTACAGGACGTTTAGGATTGTTGTCACTAGAAAGTTTTGCATTTTGAAGGAGCATTTATCTGCGAGACATGTCAGTTTACTAGCCAGTGTCCTGTAGCTCAGTACGACAAACCTCCGGGATCAGGCACAACCCTGAGATGGCGTCAGCTTAACTCATCTATGCAAGTTTCTAAACTTACTGCCAGTTCTTCTGAGTGGGGAAACATCCAAACGTAATCTACACTCAATCAGCTCTGCCCTCAGCCTATACTTGAGAGAGACCTTGCTTACTGTGAGGAATACAGCGAGATAAGACACAGCGCACAGGATCGACACAGTCTTGACAAACATATTATGCCACGTCCCAATCGTCATTCTCGAAAAGAAGCATAGCATTGTTCCCTTGAGAGACCAAATGAGTGCTGTGTATGCGTACCAAGCTGCAAGTTCGAGTTTGGAACCTGTTTCGTATTCGTGGATCTCATCTTGGGTGAGAGCTTTCGAACGTGAGTTTGCGATATTTTGTAGGGGATCGGGAGTACCTACTGCTTGATTTTGCTGCGACGCCAGCTTCGATGTTGGTGCCGAGATAATCTGTTGAATTAGTGAGGCCAAGATGTAACTGGCAGGAACATACAGATTAGATATACTGTAAACGCATCAACAGCGTAGAATATCAGAACAAGAACAGAAAAGAAATCATCGCCTTGTAAGCCCCTCCACCCAACGGTCTTGAAACGAACTGCAAAACGCGAGAAGAGAATAAGCGTGCCGAAGACATAAAGTGTCCACGACTCGATAATGAACTAATCTCATCAGTCAATTCCAGCCATAATAATCAAAGTCACATACCGACGGCCTATCTTCAATCTGAGGCATATTTCACAACAAACTGAAAAACACAAAACGGAGCAAGGAAGACAACCGAACATACAAGCAGACAGGGAACCCATCCATCTTTATTACAGAAGCTAAAGCTGTATGAACCACGAGCTAACACAAATGCCCCTATCACATCGGATCCAAGCGGCTTTGACGATTCGCGGCTGCATATGACTAGATCCCGGAAGGGAATAGGGCTGACACTCCAACCTGAGGTAGATTTGTTTCACCCTCTGTACTGTGCACGCGATGGACCGTGGAATACTGAACCCAAATAAGATTTCTACACCGTTTCTTGTAAATTAAATGCATGTTGGTGATAAGTTCTTTGAAGCGGCATTTGTTTCACGAGTGAACGAAACAAATTCCTCAAGATTTTGAAGTGCCGATCTCCTTCGGGATTGGCGAGTCATGGATCTGCGCTCGGGAATCTAGATCGCGGGAGAAAGCGGAGACGATTCATGATCGATCACTTTTGACTCGGTAAGCTTCTTAATTGAGATTTTTTCTCTATGAACGACATGCCCAAATGGGTAGTCAATAGACTTCCAACAAAACATCTTTTCCTCATTGACAAATTAACTTTATTATCTCGCCAGGATGTTGACTTATAGGAAGTTTACCACAGCGAGGCCTGTAGCAGTAATCTTGGCAAACGTCACTGAAATTTTGACTCGACAATCCTGACCTCATAGCTTAGCCCCAGATTAACTGCACCACGTTTCATATGTCGACCGTCTCAAACTCAATTGGTCTACTTTCAGCCTCTGAGAAGTGGCTTGGTCCAGACCGAAGCATCTTTAATTTCTTTGGGGGTTTGTGGCTTGGCTAGCTCGTTGGATAACCCGCCTTTGCCGATAGGTGGTCTGGGAGGTGGACCGGCGACTGATTTATGTGTGCTTGGTTTGTATCATTGGTGATTTATTTTGGTGTAGGATCATTGAAAGTTGAAGAAATAAAGATTGTAATCTTTTGTAGTAAGTGGTGAGAGCTGTTCGAGACGCGATGGCCTGGCTCTTCAGGATAGCTCTTTGAGGGCGGCTTGATTCAGCTCGTGGGACATAACCAACAAGAACAGCCCATAAATATGAGAGAGGGACTCGGCGGTCAGACAAAATTTGTGGGTCGTCCCATGATTGTTTATACCGCAGGGATCCGGAGGAGGCTCGGAAGGACCTTGACATTTCAACACTGACTACATGCTTCCTAGCTGTCTCAGCCCCGAGCCAGACAAATACTCTGCTACAAATGTGAAGAGACTACAACTTGAACAAGGTCTGTATATGAGAGTATGAAGCAAGAACTGCAATAAAAGGACCTTGAACAGTCAGCTCACCACCCAGGAACCAACTCCACGCTCAACTTCCACCCCGAGAGGATCTTGAACAGCGTCAACGCAAAATCATCACCAATCTCCCTCCCCTCATCCGACCCATTCTGCAAATCAACAGGAGTAAACTTGTACCGTCCAACAAGACTAGCAACAAAACACGACAGTTGATCTCTGGCGTATTGCTCACCGACACAACGACGCGGACCACCCCCAAACGTCAGAAACGAGTATGCATGGTCGGCTCCACCGCTAGGATTATCCAGCCATCGCGATGGATTGAATACCCTAGCGTCATATCCCCAGTGTGCAGGATCACGGTTCAGAGCCCATGGTGAAAAGACAATCTTTGTGCCTTTGGGGATTCGCTCTCCTGCAAGCGTGATATCCTGTGTTGGCTCGCGCCAGAGGAGTGTGTTGATGGAGTGGTAACGAAGCACCTCGTTTGTAACAGCGTTGAGATATTTCAAGCTGTGCAATTGAGATTGGCTGACATCTGATCGAGGAGATGCTATATGCTCTCTGATCTCTGCTCGAAGGCGGTCTTGCATATCAGGGTGTCGGGAGAGCAAGTGAATAGCCCAGCACGTAGAACCAGCCACGGTCTCTGTTGCAGCAGCAAAGAAGTGAACAGTCTGCTCAACCAAATCCTGATGCGAAAAGTGCCCAGTCTGCATAAGCAGTGTGAGCATATCCGGATCAGACCTTGCCACATATTTCTCAATATTCCGCTCGTGGTCTGTCGTTATATCCTCTGCCGTGGCACGGACTAGAGCCATGATACTATCGATTGTCTTGACCGCTCGCAAAGGCAGCTTCAGCGCGATCTTGGGCCCAATGAGGGATGCTGCACGAAGAGTCATCTGGCCTCGCTTGGTTGTCTTGAACATCTCGATGTAAGCTTTACCAAAGCGGACCTTGGGATCAGAGGAACCCTTCGTGCTCTCACGTGATGTGACTCTCTGAAGGGTCTGGAACTCGGTGCTGAAGCCAAAACGACCGATAATGTCGATGCTTGCTGCCGAGACAAGTTCGATAATGGCTACAACGCCGTGTGGGGCAAATGGCTCGCGCTTTATGTGTTGTGGGAGGAGATCGATGGCGTCGACGGCCAAGCTCCAGATGGTAGGGAACCACTTCTTCATCTGGGCAGGGCTAAACACCGGATTGAACCTCTTGCGAGCTTGTTTATGCTGATTGCCCTCCTGGATGAGCAACCCATGGCCAGCGATGTTGTTCGCCAAGATCCACTGAAGCTCAGGCTTGATAGTCTTGTAGGCATTTGAGGAAAGCAACTCCTGCGCAGCTTCAGGGGAGGCGACGTAGATACGCTCCTGGTTGAAGACGCCCATGTATCTGATAAGGCCACGGTGTGGGAGTTCATCCATCCATGTTTCTATCTCCGAGACTTTGGGCTCGTGTATGAGACGGAGTAAAAGGGGGCCTTGCTTGGGAGAAGGGAGATGTTTGAGGGGGCTGAAATGGGGTTTGATGAAGAGGCGGTTGATGCAATATAGTACTGTGGCTACCACTGCGAGAATGGGTAATACCCATGATGGCTTGGTGAGGTATGTTGATAGTGACATCGTAGAAGGGTAGGTAGCTGTGATACTGTTGTTGGTATGTCTCCTTGGAGTGAGCAGGATATCAGCTGCGAGAGGCAGTAGAGACATCATTTTATGTACACCTATGGCGCAAGCGATTAAACGCCAGAACGGATCTGCCGAGAGTCGGGCATCTTCCATCAAGACCCTATCATCTTAGTCTGTCGCAGTTCTTCCTCCAAGCTTAGTAAAAATTGAGTAAGTGTCTCAAAGAACTCGTAGTTCACCTCATCACAGCGACCTGCATGAAAACTAAGATAAACACGGCCACAATAACCTAAAAACCCCAGGTTGTACCACTTCCAGTTCCTTGATCACACACGAAGGGATTTCTAATGAGACATGAAGGGGTCTCCTGACGTCAATGAATATGCTTGATTTTACAAAAAATGACAAGATCTTCTCCCGTCACGGCGATACAACCCGGATGTTCCCCGAGGTCCTATTCCACCCACCAAAGCGAGGTATTTCACTGTTTTATAGGGCCAGCACTAGAGTGTTCGTGAAACCCTCGCTCGAGTTGAGGTTACATGCTCGCTTATGACCCCAGATTACGATATTTGTCGGCCCCACATGGAAGGGTAGTCCCTAGTGCTGTAACTTTGGAAATCCGGGGTATCAGGGCAGTTTGAGGGTCATGTACAAATACGTTGACGATAATGCTACTACCCTGTTACCGACAGACTATTCTCCATCACCTCCAAGTCCATTCTTCTCATTTCGCAGTACATATCAAAATGCACAATCAAACGCCCAACGATATTGAGAACTCCATCTCCCTCGATGAATCCCAAAGTCCATCAGCAATTCCAGATGGCCTAAAAGAAGAAGACAGACCAGTCAATTGGTCTTCCTCCAAAAAATGGTCCATCGTGGTCAGCACCTCTCTCGCAACCTTTATCGTCTCCTTCGGCAGCAGTGTCTACTCAGCTGCAATCCCCCACATCCAAGCCCGATTCAGCGTCTCATCCAATACGGCCCTACTAGGCATAACACTCTACGTTATCGGCTTCGCCCTTGGTCCGATGGCATGGGGTCCCGCATCGGAACTCTACGGCAAGCGACGACCCCTGTTCCTAGGCTACGCCATCTTCTGCATCTGCCAACTCCCCTGCGCCCTCGCTCAGAACATATCTCCGCTCTTGACGTTTCGATTCCTCTCTGGTCTAGCTGGTTCTTCGAGCCTAGCTATTCTGGGGGGTATGTACGTCGACTTCCTCAGCCGACCTGCTGAGCGAGGAATTTCGACGGCGGTTTTCAGCGTTGCGACGTTTTGCGGACCGACTGTTGGACCTATCGTTGGAAACCTGGCGACACTCAAGTTGGGCTGGCGCTGGACGGCGTGGCTTACTCTGATAGGAGGTGTCGCCTTCGGCAGTGTCGCGTTTGTTCTTACCCCTGAAACGTCCGAGGTGGTGATACTGCGCCAAAGATCCAAGGGGAATACCTCGGTTAGCCCATCTCGGATATATCGTCCAGAACGGGGCATATCGACATTCGTGCAGAGCTACTTTACGAAACCAGTCAGGATGTTTGTGCGGGAGCCAATAGTAAGTTAGCTACCCCGGCATTCGGAAACCTTATTGATGATCTGCAGCTCATCTTCTTCACCATTTACATGAGTCTCGCTTATGGAATTATATACCTCACGTTTACTATGTACCCTCTTGCATTCGTCACAGGCCGCGGATGGTCCCGTATGGACGGAAGTCTTCCGTTTATCGGGATGACCATTGGCGTTGTCCTGGCTTGTATAGGGATCGCTCTGCATAGTATCTACTATATCCAGCAAAGCCGAGTCCATGTGCCGGAACGACGTCTGCCGCCCATGATTGCCGGGTCAATCCTCCTATCAGCAGGTACACACTAAACTGCCCTATTTCCAAATCCCTGTCTTACATATTCTAGGCATCTTCTGGTTTGGCTGGACCTCTAGCAGGTCTATCCATTGGCTGGCACAAGCTTCCGCCGGAATCTTCCTTGGCAGCGGCTCTATCCTGGTCTTGATGTCTGGCGTCATCTACTTGATTGAGGTATATCTCATTCACGCCAATAGCGCTCTGGCAATTAATAATTTCCTACGTTGTGTCATAGCTGCTACCTTTCCTTTATATGCTACAGACTTGTTAGTGGATGTGGGGCTAGGTGTTGGTAGCACGGTTATCGGCTCCATCTGTCTGGTGCTCTCACCCATTTCCTTTCTTTTCTGGCGATGTGGTCGGACTATCAGACAGTGGTCGAAGTTTGCGGAGGATTGAATTCGCTGAAAGCTCCCTGTCTATGCCTAACGTCACATAAAAAAAGGCATGGGTGGTTACTCATTAACCTACCTAACCGAGGTTGAACGAGAGGACGGATACCAAAACAGCCAAGAACTGTGAGGTAGAAATCAAGGATGTCCTGAAAGAACAGCCCTAGAGCATATTTCAAGCGCTCATTGTTCTTAAACAACGGAACAAATTCTTTGAATCGAGGAAGAATAGACCCCATATTCTTCATGACCCCAAGAATTGCATCGAAAGAAGCGACGAGGTTACTTGAAACCTGAAGTAAAAGGTTGATCGATCCCCAGATGAGAGCCAGAATATCTGGTTTGACCTGGACAAAGACCTCAATTACGCCAGCGTATTCTTGCAGTCGCTCGATACAAGGTCCAATCCTCTTCAAGCCTCGTAGTCGCTTATTGCTTGCCTGGTCCTTTTGGAGCCGCTCTGTGTAGTCCCAAATGTCGTCAATCGTGGTGGCTTTTTGAGACTACAATTTGGTCGCCAGTTTTCTCACCGCCCGGCGAGGCAGACTTTCCAATCAGGCTCTAGGTTCTGGGTGAGGCAGACTGCATTTTTAGTCTACCTGCTTGTCTAGTCCACTCGCTTATCATGTACGTTAGCTATCATAGTCATGTTGTACTCTGCAGCGAGGTACAAAATGGAAGTTTTTAATAGCTCACGGGATAAACAACATTGATCTTCCAAACATGACTTAAAACTGAATACCTAAACCCATCATTGATCAATCATTCATCATTACCCCCAGCACGACTGGCGTATCCTTTGGGAAGGATATGATTGCCAAACTAACTCTCAGGAAAGACAAATTCACCATCCTCATTACGACGGAGCTAGAAGCTGGTTAATACCGGCGCTAGATTATTAAGTGTGGGAATATTGTGACATACACCAACAAAGGCAGCACCTGCAAGTCTCGAGATAGCCTGCCAACAGTTAACATCAACTCTAAGCAAACTAAAGCTTAAAGAACATACCGCAGAGTATGTAAAGATTGGATCCTCTTCGTCGAGCGGGATATCAAGCTGCTGATCTGACCTTTGTGTTAGAAGATATTATGCTCCCTTATATCGTAAACCTCAAAACCCACAAGATGTGATATGAAGAATTTTTTTCAAATCCAGATCGGACTGTAGACTTCTCAGGAAGCGAATGGCTCCGGCGTCGTTACCCACTTGAGAGATCTGGAAGAGCACGTCTTGGTCTGGTCAACTCTTGCGGTTCCGGCGTAAACACATCGATGAGAGAGTAAGTCTTACGCTTTTCCCCAACCCTCGTCTTGTCGCGATCTTGAAGAAGTGCCTTGCACGCTTGGATCTCCTTTTTGAACTGGTCTCTGTCCTCGCCTTGGGGCTAATGCAGAAATGGGTCAGACTCTAGTCTCTGCTTGTATGACGCCGAGGTCCGCTACTTACATCTCCATCAGTTATGATACAGATCAGGACAGGCCGGAAAGTGCCTTTGGAATGTAGCTTGGGGTACACGAAACGGTCCAGTATCTTGCGCCGCAGTTGGGTGCCGAGAGGGGTCTTTCCATGGTTTCTGATGTTTGCAATCAGTTCTCGTGCTTCTTCTGCAGTGGAAGCGGTATCGTCTCGTGGGCTGCCGTTCAGAAACTCGATCCGGACCGACGGCGTGTTGTCGTAGATGTTCTCAACATCGACAATGCTCCCACTGATATGCTGGAGCTGTTCGCCTCTCTCTGGTTCCCAGTCGATGGACTTGGAATTATCTTGTCAAATCTATTAGTAGGGCAGAGGTAATTGCCCGTTGCTGGAACTTGACTTACCTAGGAAGAGGATGGTGTCGAACAATGCCAACACCAAGAGGTCGTCCAGATATTCATCCCTATACTCATCGTTGGCGAGAATCTTGGCTCCCCAGTCAGCGGCGTTCATAGCAATGCTCTTTAGCGTTTCGTCTTTGTGAAAGCCGGCCAGCTGTGTTTTGTTGTACTTGGTGAGGAACTGGTACGCGTGCATCTAGGTCGCCCAAATTAGTGATAAGCTGCAGGAATGGAGAACCTCAAATACACACCTGTCGAACCGACGTGAATCCCAATTTTTGGGCTTGCTCTTTCTCCTTGGATACGCCGGCTGGGGCGCGGGCTGGCTGCTGTTGGGGAGCTCGTGGTTGTGGTGGTGGTACTGGAGAACTCCCTGAGAAAAGCTTCTGAAGTGTGGCTTCTGATATGTGGCTCCGTCCTTGGAAATAGCCATCCCCGGTTTCAGTTACCATGACCTGAGGGTTTTCGCCCTTCTTGGCATTTTTGAAGTCGATCGTGGCCACTTTGGCGGTGGTAGGGGGGAGGACTAGACCCTCGGGAGTCCCGCGATCCGTCACCTTGATACACATGGTCGCGGAAGGTTTGATGGTATACAGCTTGTCCTTCTTGTAGGGTACGGCAGCGATCGGAATAGGGTCAGGAAGCTCCTGTGTGTTGTCTTCTTCGTCAATCTCCTCAGTGATGAGACGCTGGGCAAGGCCAACCACATAGGACTTTTTGCGGTTGGTTGGGGCTCTTCTGCATTTGATGCGGATTGCACCCTTGGGAGCGTAAGTTAGGGATTCTTCTTCAAGGTCGTTTCCCTTTGCAATCCTGATGTCGACCTGACCATCATCCCAGTCAACCAAGGCCACAAATCCATCTGCCTTCACAGACCCTAGGTTCACAGGCACGCTCTTGGTGCGTTCGATTCTCGGGTGAGCACCGGATGTGCAGGTCCCTACAAAGGCAAAGTACTCATATTTGAACGTCATGGAAGTGACGGAGTCGTAGGTTATTGTGTCGGTGACAGCGAAAGTGGGAGTCATCAGCTCTCCTGGTTGGATAGTGAGGCTACTGTTCTCGTCGACCACCACAGGGGGTAGTGCGACCATACAGTAGGAACGAGCAGTGTCAGTGCTGTATTGGTTCTTGATCTTGACCGTGAATGCCATGGCTGCTGATTGAACGCACTCAAACGTGCTCTTTGGAGTCGACAACTGGTGGGCTATGAGCCTGATCGCGGAGTATTGCGAGAAAGACAGAAACGAAACGCAGAATGATTGAACTGGTAATCCTCGGGGGTCAAGGTCATATGCTGATAGCAAGATGTATGGGGAGGGGTGACGTGTTGCTATGCTACGAGCAGCAGGCCATGTCCTCAACGACGGGCAGAGTGTGGTAAGCCCTTCGTCGGCTCCCCCGATTGCACTTTCGACAAGGAAGTACATCCAAAATACCGTGCTTATCAATCCATGACTGTATGAAAGCAGTCATATGCCGGCGGCTTATGAATCAGGTAGGCATGGATAACTGCAGGTAAGAATGAGGCGTGTTACATTCTTAGGCAGGCTGAGAGTATTTCCCGCAACGTCCCTTTCAAGTTCATAATCTACATGACTAGGATAAGCTCAGTCTTAACCACCACACCGCCTATACGAAAGTTCCCATGCAATGGCACCTATTGGGTACTTCCCTCAGCCGCTTGAAGCCACGCCTCTACGTGTCTGCTGCATCTGAAAGGAAAGAAAAGTCGAGACTCTCAATGCAATTTAGCCGCTTTGGCGTTAGGTAGCTCTGAACCCGCTGCAACCTCACAGTTGAGTCGGTTGCAGGACTTTCTGAGAACTGATATATCTTGCCCGGTTGAGCAAGTCCCGGTTAGAAGCCACTGATAAATAGAAGTTTGTAATATGGAATGCAAGCGTGCGTCTTCCTTTACACAGGGTATTCCTTGAAACTGTTTGATAACCAGTTTATAAATCTCCTACACGTCTAGTTTACTCTCTGGTTTTCATCAACCACTACTGCCTCTCCCAAATCACTCTACAAGCCTTGACACTCAACCCTCCAAACCATCATCACCATGTCGAACCTATACACTGTCGAAGTCACCAACAACTCGGGCAGTGCGGGCAAGGTATACAACCTCTTTTCGGCCAAGTCCGTCATCCAGGGCGGTGGGAACACTACGGACACTACCAAGTCGATCGTGTGGTTCCGATCCAGAAAGCTTACTGCCGGAGGACAAGTCTCCTTCAGATTTGACAACTCTTTCTACGGATTCATGGGCTCCGTCTCAGGCTCCTCCGGCCTCGGCACCGGTTGTATCATCGATACACAAACTTACAAGAAAATCACTCTCGGAACGCAGACACGGGATGGGACTATTCTCGTCCTAGATGGGGACTCTTCCTTTGAAGAAACCAACCCGGATGACGAGAACCCGGCTCCGGGGAACGGCCAATTCTCTATTGCAACTAGCAGTACACTCCAGCCGTACAACGATGTCATCGGGGTGGCCCGTGGGAAGTCCTTGGGGGCAGGTATCACGCCAGCACCAGTCAACTGCGTCCCTCTGAAGGCCGGCGTGACATACACCTTCACTATCAACAGCTCGGTTTATGTCAAGGCTGCCTCTCTCACTGAAGGATCCGTCCAGCCTGCTCTTGATGGGGACAAGGAAGCAATTCAGGTCAAGTTTCCAGCTGGGAAGAAGAAAGCGTCTGTGGTTGAAGACAGCAACGGCAAGCTCACTGTCACCTACTCTCCTGGGAACGAGTACGGTAACGAGTAAGAATGGCGACCACTTGGATCACCAGGCATCTCTAGTATGGTAGTGTCATGGCCAGCAAGACTTCCATGGCTGATGTCTGTGTTTGAAGGAAGGGAAAGCAGTCATTACCTTGTTGCTGTACACGATTCTGATAAATGCTACTACACACGATCCTTACAAATGAAGCTTTGTTGAGTGAGCATACATACTTCATGAGGCCGTAACTGATAGAGGCTCTGTAGGCAGCTGGTGCACCTCGTTGTTTGCTGCAAATGTGATCAAAGCCCGATCTTTTCCCTAGGAGGTTAGACTTTCGTGATGTACGTCCATTTTAGGACCTGGCTTGGCTGCTGCCGAATCTGTCATATCATAAAACGCATGACGAACGGAAGGACAATAGAAAACTGTAGGATAATTTGCATGATGTCTGAGGAAAGTGAAGCTACAAGCCCCTCAATCGCCCCCGCCCGAACCCTCACTTCTTTGACCGGCTGCAGATCTAACAAGCGGTAATCACGCCAGACACTTGCACGGTTACAGGCAGATGATATGATACGTATGCTCAGGCTGTGGTATGGGACAGACGGCAACAATCCACCAATAAAGGCGATTTTTCAACGTAGTGAAGAGGAGCAGGCATCAGTTGCCTTGGACAAGATTATCGAAAAGTCGGCGATGAGAGGAGGCTCAACTGCAAACAGGTGGGCAGCTGACAGCTACCTGCAGTCACTCACCCCGCATCGCCGTCAGCATCCAATGGCTGCTAGATATCTGCTCGGACCGTGCAGGCCACCTGGCCCCAGATGAGATGCGCTGTCTATCCAAGAGTGAAGATTCTTGCTACCATCGCAGGTATTCGGCGGAACCGAGCTTTCTTTTTGCCTCACGCAAGAGGTGGGTTCGATTGCCTGAATGCCGCCGTTGCAAGGGTTTGCTGTCAGGCTGGCTGCGAACGGCCCCTCCCGGATCTAATGTCTCGTTATGATGCACGTCTCGAGTAACTCAAAGAGGGTCCTTAAACCATTGACCACCGCTTAGGTCTCCTTCAAATGTAGCATACCTACAAAGCCATTCAAGCGCCCTCGCAGCCCCTCGGTAAGCCCATCAGCTCGCCTAAAGTCGACGTGCAGTTCAGACGGCAGAGGAGTGCATGATCTTTGACGTTGCAGCAGATTCAGGTAGGCTCTGCTATACGCAACACCTGCAATGCCGCATGAGTCATTTGTTTATTTTGAAGATACTGTCAACCATCCAATAGGCTCTATACAATCTGCAAGGTGCGGGCCGGCTTGCCCTATAATCTGACAGGTTAAGCGATGGTGTTTCAGCTACCCACGCAACCGTCAGTGTTGCTGCTTTTGACTGAGATAAGGCAATAATGATGGCCAAGTATTTCTAATCCTGCTGCACTTGGTGTCAAGGTTTCAATACCCATGTGTCCCTCACTACGACTTGATTAGCCGCCTTCATCAGGCACCTATATGGTGTGTACCCATATCCGCCCGGCTTGTGAGCATCAACCCCTGCGATGTCTGTTGTAGCTGCAGCTGGCTGAACAGGCGGGGTTTTCGACAAGGGCCTCCAAGGACTGTATTCATGTAGTTTTCTCTTTTCCCATGGAGAGGATGACGTGTATCACTTTAACTAATGAAAGGTCATAGAGCTTGATACGTTTGCCGCTGAAAGTATGCCGATCACTTCATTTCTTTGCCGTTGTAGCTGATGGCTTCTTGTCCATTACAGACAAAATTAAAAAAGCATCTTGTCACACGCTTCCAGCGCCAGTTGGTCTTGTTTGCGCCCTCGACTGCATCTTCGTTTCTATCTGATCAGTACGCGTAAGCGTAAGCCAAGTTTCCTGGATCACCTTCGGGCGCAACCGAAGATCCGATGACCATGCCTCCACCACCCCTTGCCTTGAACAAGGGTTTCCATCAAACTATGCAAAACCCATCAGAACTAAAAATGGGAACGGATCGACTCAGCTTTCTCTTTCCGCACTGAGGAGATGCCGTAGATCGTACCCTCGGGGTCACTCATGCACCCGCTCTCCGTCGAAGCCATGCACCGAGGATTTTAGAAGCTGACTAGAGGGCCCTCGAGGGACGCTACGAATATTTCTGCTTCTCGAGTCCTTGTTCGAGGCATTGAGATTAAGAAACTCGGATAACAATCGGTCAAACACATTGGGAGCATAATATTAGTTCCCGATTGGCAGGCCTCGTATCGTCATTCGCGCCGCTGGCGATCTGGCCTTGCTTTGGCTAAACCATTATTCTTCTTTCATTATTAGTCTGTCTGCTGAAGCTGCTTTCGATACGAATCCAAGTCAACAACAGACCAAACCCAGTGAATCCTGCCTTCATCAAGCCAATACATAACATGCTCATGAAACTTGACAGTCTTCCCGTTAGGCTCAGCTCCAGCCCATGCCTTGACAGGAAGTCCAGTAAACTCCAACCTAGCCGCAACTCTTCCCGCATCCTTATCGACGATGAGATCTTGAATGTCAAAGTATAGCCCATGAATCGCATCTTGACTCTCTGAAATCAGAGATATATACTCCGCAATAGTCTTCCTCACGGTATTGTGCGTCACTGATGGCTGACAGAACTTCTCAAAATTTGCCTCCATGGTCTTATCGTTGATGCTCTTGATGTACTCGCGGTACAGTGCTCCGAGATCAAGAGAAGTAGGGTTCAGTTCTTCCAACGTCGAAGGAGTTGTAGTTTGTTTTGCAGAGCGAGAGTCAACGTCTTTAAGTCGCTTGATAGTTGCCAAGCGGCCGTCGATAAACCATGTGAGTATAATCTCCTGACACTCATACTGTTGACCATCTGGGAGGGTTTCGGTCTTGATGACTCGCCCAGCAACGGCTTGGGCGCTTACATCAACCACACAGCTATCAAGCGTCACTGAGACTCCACTAGCGGAACGTAGATTTTCGATGAAGTTATCGCGCGGCTGAGATGTTGTGTCGATCAACATACTCGGCTGAAATAAGGATTCTAGAGTTTCCCATTTCGTCTCATTTCGAGCGTTGAGGATGGACTTGAGGAGATCAATAAGCTCAGATCGCGATTTCAAAGAAGCCATGATGAACGTTCGATTGTAATATCTAATAGTAAGTTGAAAGAAGCAAGTTGTTCACAGTCTTCGAAGAAGCGGAGATTGCATTTATACCTGGCTTGGCTCGTTGACAATAGCGCCCTTCGAGGGTCCTTCAGCATTAGTCATCAAAACTCTGGCTTGGCGATATCATACTCTCAGTTCATGTTCGATAATGTTCAACCTGGAGATATTCATTCCTTTCGCTGATAAGCCCGGTAATAAGGTTGATTAAGTAAAACAAGAATTCTGGCTGGTGCAGTCAGATATACGAGCCACACATATACGGTACTAACAGTGGTTAGACGAGAAACTTGTGTTCTTTCGCGCCAATTGATCGACAACTATATCAAGAACCCCAGAGACACATGATTACTTTGTAGCTTTCACACTTCAATCGTAAATACCACATGTACTCATTCTTGTAAAGGTCTCATTGATGCCAGGAATCGGGTAGGAATTGAGTTATATTGCCAAGGCGGACTTGCTGATGCGCAATAGTCCTTATAATAGGCTGTGACTTCGTCGCAGTGATGGAGCCGCTGTAATTTAGTGGATTCGGAAGGCCTGATGCCTGTCAGTCGCGCAAACACGGCAACACCTTGCCATCGAACACTGCGCAAACCCATTAACACTCTCAAGCCGCTTCACTCACAGCACGATATAGCACTATACAGATAAAAAAGAGCAGAAAAGAGAAATATTATTCTTAATTCATAACATCTAGCTTGACTTGTTGTATCTCTGGTGTCGAGTCTCTATTCAGTGTCTCTCACTGCACGCACGAGAAGCTGACCAATCCAAAGCCCAGCATTGGAAAATTTGCCCCATCTTCTCGACCCTCACTCAGCCAAAATACCAGTCACAATGACTGACTACTGATTGACGGCCCTGTCAACGTACAGACGTCACCCTCACTTGACTCGTCAACGATGAAGAAGTCAATAGCATGCGGCGCATGTCGCTCTTCCAAGCGCAAAGTGCTCCTCTCCCCTCCCCTCCCCCTTCCCTCTCACAACAACTGACTCACCCCTCTCAGTGCATCCACTCAGGCGGTCCGCCCTGCACGCGCTGTCGCGACCGCGGCGACGAGTGCGTCTTCCCGCCCAAGGGCACATCCTTCATCTTCCGCCGGAGCCGTCTCGAGCGTCACCGGGATGAAGTCGGGGCCGGGGCTGGGAGCCGGGCTGACTCGGAGCTCATCCGGGCCGGGAACCTGGCCACCACGGACCCGTTCGGCTTCCTGACGGATGAGGTCAAGAACAGTTATCTGCGGTGCTCGTACAAGTGGTCGTTCCACCATATTCCGAATCTCCTCATTGCTATTCGCGAGAGGAGGTTGGATCCTTTGCTCGTCTGGGCGATGCTGGCTATCACTGTGAGGTGCGGCATATGATTCCTTCGCTTATCGTCTCACTCACATGGAGCAGGTTCTCGCAGGCTGCGCCGCCGGGATATGCGACGCAGGTTGAAGCAAGCAATACATTCGCTGCTCATGCGCGGTCGCTTGTTCTGTCACTTGTGGACCAACCTACCGTCCATCGCGCGCAGGTTCTTCTCATGCTGACCGGACATTCCTGGGGCGCCGGTGAGGGTCGAAGGGCATGGGTTTATCTCGGCATGGCGGTGCGCATGGCACAAGTCCTCGGTCTATTTGAAGAACCGCCGCCAGCGATAACACGAGAAGACTTTATCGAAGCTGAAGAGAGACGCCGCACTGCCTGGACATGTTTCCTGATGGACAGTCTTCTCAGCGGAGGAAAGGGTCGCGATAGGATGCTGTCGGGTGATAAGATGCGGATCCAACTCCCGTGTGAGTCGGATAGCTTCAACTTTGGCCAGATTGTGCTGTGCGAAAGACTGGATGGCTCAATGCCGGATGGAGCGATGGGAACTATCCATGGCAGTCTAGGCATTGTGGCCAACAGCATGCGTGTCGCTGATGTCTGGGGCGCCGTCGCCAAATGGGCTTGTACACGGCACGACAACACTGTACCGCCATGGCAGCCTCAGTCTGAGTTCCAGATGCTACTCTCCCGACTTGAACTCTGGAAGAACTCACTACCCGAGAGATTACGATACGAGCTCTTCCTCCTACGGGCACACAGCGTGTCCAATCAAGGTCAGGCATACTGCTACATGCACTGCATCTACTTCATGAGCGTCATCTTCCTCTACCGGTCTTATCTCCCTGAAGTCGAGATGCAAAAGGCCAGAGTGGGCGATAAGGATTGGGACCAATGGTCAACATGGTCAAGCAAAGAGCTCGAGAAGGTCGCTGAGCAGGTGTGTGACATGCTGCAAGAGATACGCGCATTTGGCCTGTACTTTCTACGTGGTCTCGTTCCTTGGATTGGCTTCACCATTTACACGGCCGTCGGAACGATGCTGTACTTTTATCACTTCCCAAATCCTGGCGACACGGCGCATCAAGTTGAGAAGCGAAGGGAGCATATCGTCGAGGGTCTCTTGTTCCTCAAAGACATGCGACAAGCTTGGCCGATGGCTGACACCTGGGTAAGTCGCCCGTCTCATGATAGTGACTTTACTGACGGATTATAGCGCGAGAAGATCAAGGCGATGCAGATATTCTACAGCAACATCAAGGCCGACGGCGATCTCGCAGTAACACCCAGCGAAAGACGAGAAATGCGCAACGCAATCATCGACTACGGCGCTCTCCAGCCCGATCCCGTTCGTCAACCCGACGCCGAGAGCACCGACGAACAAGTACTTCACCCCATCACTCTCACATTCACTTACTAACACTTCCCAGAGCGCTACAGACGGCGAAAACGACCAGACCTCGTCAAACGTCGACTTTTCCTTCATCGCGCCCGCAGACATTGACCTGTTCGACACAGACTTTGCATTCGGTAGCAACATGTACGCGACGTTCGCTGACGCAACGCAGGGCTTCTGGGAGAGTTTCCCTGGGAGTATGGACATCACGGGCGACATGGCCATGGAGAACTGAGTGGTTTTCCCCACTGCCAAGCCGGGAAATGTTGAACGGCGATCGGCACTGAGACCCATCGTAACCTCATGAACAGTGAATGGTGGGTGAGCTGAGTTGAGTTCCCCGCGGTTGCATTCAGGCTAAATGCAATGACAGCCATCACGACATATCCAGCAATTATAAAAAGTCACCACTCATTCACGACAATACCTAGGTATTTCTCACCTCAATCTCATCGCATCAGTCAAAATGCCACAGGTCACAAACCCCATTCTTCCGGGCTTTAATCCCGACCCTTCAATCTGCCGCGTCGGCGATGACTACTACATCGCTACATCCACCTTTGAGTGGTTCCCCGGTGTTCAGATCCATCACTCCAAAGACCTTGCCAATTGGACTCTCGTCGTGCGTCCAGTGAACCGCAAGAGTCAGCTTGATATGCGTGGTGAGCCTGATAGCTGCGGTGTCTGGGCTCCCTGCCTGACGCACGATGGAGACAAGTTCTGGCTCGTCTACACGGACGTCAAGCGCAAGGACGGCTCGTTCAAGGATGCGCATAATTATATCATCACGGCGCCTGCTATCGAGGGGCCGTGGAGTGATCCCGTGTACGCTAATTCCTCTGGCTTTGATCCATCGCTGTTTCATGATGATGACGGTCGCAAGTGGTTCAACAACATGACATGGGATCATCGCGCTCGGCCTCATCTCTTCTCTGGTATCTTTCTTCAAGAGTTTGATCCCAAGCAGGGTAAACTCGTGGGACCGAAAAAGAACATCTTCAAGGGTACAGACCTAGCTTATGTTGAGGGATCGCATTTGTATAAGCGCAATGGATGGTACTACCTCTCTACAGCAGAGGGTGGCACAGGCTACACCCACGCCATGACTCTAGCGCGATCGCGCAGCATCTGGGGTCCTTATGAAGTCCATCCCCAGAAACACGTCGTCACTTCAAAAGATGCACCCAACGCAGCGCTCCAAAGAGCTGGCCACGCTGATATCGTGGATACACCCGATGGCAAGACGTACATCGTGCATCTAACTGGCCGCCCTGTTACCCAAAAGCGTCGCTCGGTCTTGGGTCGAGAAACAGCTATTCAAGAAGCGTACTGGGGCGATGACGACTGGCTGTACATCAAGAACGGCCCCGTCCCAAGTCTTCACGTTGATCTCCCCGCTGCACGCGACGACACAGAATACTGGAAAGAAAAGCGGTACACCTTCACCGACAAACTCCACATTGACTTCCAGTGGCTTCGAACACCTGAACCCGAGCGTATCTTCAACATCAAGAACAACCAGCTCAGCCTCATCGGTCGAGAGTCTGTCGGTTCATGGTTCGAACAAGCCCTCGTCGCACGCCGCCAAACACACTTCTCCTACGACGCCGAAACAGTGATAACCTACTCCCCCGACGACGAGCGCCAATTCGCCGGTCTGACAGCCTACTACTGCCGCTTCAACTTCTTCTACCTAACCGTGACCGCCAACGCCTCCGGCCAGCGCGAGCTCCAGATCATCTCCTCCGAAGAGTCCTTCCCCTTAGGTCGTCTTGAGCGTCCCTTTGCGGAGCCAGTTGAAATCCCCAACGAGGGCAAAATCCGACTTGCGGTTAGTGTTCGTGCGGGGAGCACGCTTCAGTTTTACTATGCTCTTGAGGGGCAGGAGTTGAAGGCGATTGGGCCTGTGTATGATGCTTCGATCTTGTCGGATGAGTGTGGAGGACATCCTAAGGATGGAAGCTTTACGGGTGCGTTTGTGGGGATGGCGTGTTCGGATGTTAATGGGCTTGCGAAGGAGGCGCAGTTTGATTACTTTGTGTATAGGCCTGTGCATGATAAGTTGGATCGGTATGAGATATAGACAGCAGATAGCCGATTCGAACAGAAGATTTCAACTTATGAACCTCATTATACATGGTGAACTCGACTTGACGATGGCTCACATAAACTAGACATTGTTTTTTATTATTCTCCCTTTGCGTTGAGACTTGTCAGAGGCTGTCCAGCCTTTCTAAAAACGAGTCGAATAGTAATACCTTCATGGCAGCCATCATACCACGAACCCCAGTATAGAATGAAAAACAGACCGCATGAACCAACTACAAACCAAACGCCGTCTTAGCACGCTGAAAGTACTCCAACCGCGGCTGAAGATCCGTCCCAACACACTCCTCAATGTACTTCTGAAAGCCCGTATCAACATCCGTCTTGAACGCTTGTCGAACATCATCCTTGCACTGCGTCCTCAAGAACCACGGTCCACTTCCAAAGTTATACTTATCAACCGTAACCTCATCCAACAAATCCCCCAGCTCCTGATCCGAAAGACCCTCTGTACTCTCAATGCCCTGCCATCCCTTGGCCAGCGCAGGAATGCTCTTGGCGTAGAGAAGGTTGTAATTGGGCATCTGCATATTCGCAGTGCCTTGGCCTGGACGACCAGGGTAGTGGTTCCGCTTATACTCAAAGTCTCCAGACTCAAAAGCCATGAGGGCGAGAACAGCGGCGATTTCAGCGGGGGAGTATATCCCTTGGGTCTGGAAGCTGGAGATGAGATACGGGGCTGCTTGGGTTGCTGTGCGGCATTCTTTGTTGCCGGTGGGACAGGTCTTTGATTTGGGGGCTATGGCTTCGATGATGGGGACTGCAGATAGAGAAGCAGCTGAAAGAGAGGCCAGAGAGGCGATGAGAGAGAGAGTGGTGAACTTCATAGTGATGAATGTCGTAGTGTCAAGTGTTGATTGACGTTGAGGCAAATGACCTGAAAAAGAGTGTGTTTAAGTAAAAAAATCCACCAGGGACTTTGTTAACCGCCAAAAGAAAGTCTGTGAAACACAAGGTATCACGAACAGCGAAGGAAAAAAGGAGTGAATAACCTCACAATCAATGGAAGTGAATAAGGATGCCAAGAACAGACACAGATTCAGGGAACAAGTCGCCTCTAAATACATTTTTCCCTCTCAAGTGCACTTCGTGAATCCCCCAGCCTCGTTGTCCAATGGCATTCCACGTCGAGGCGCAGGCAAACAAATGGTGAAACAGATGAAATGTGAAACGAACTGCTTGCGGCCAATTGAGGCGGATCTACAGGGGTTGGGGCCGGAAATCTCGGCATTGTTTTAGGGGCAATGAGCTGAAGGGGGCTGTGATTGGCGCTGGTGCTACATTGCACTGAATGGTCACTGAAACAGGGAAACGGTTGTACAAAGCGTGGATTTTGTTACAGTGAACATTCCAGCTCCAGCTTTGGGGGTGAAAGAGCCTTGTTTTGTTCACTTCGAGCTGGTGGTCGGGTTGACGTACGTAAATCGCGCACCTTGTTTAGCCTGACCAATCAGAGAGCGCTGATGTGAGTGAACCTCACCGAAACTAATGTCAAATCGATCGTTGAAGCAATTCACTATAAGTGGCAAAGAGCTCTGCATTGATCAGATCAGGGAGGCATAGAAGCTAACTTGAGCGAATGTGTTGTTATGTTGCTATGTAACGACCGACTTGGACTACCTAGCCTAAATACAAGAACAAATGAGAATAATTCAGTCTGGCCTCTGACCCTGCCCTAGCGGTAGTCGATCCGTATTCCGTCTCTCAAATACTTACTTAGCCTCACACCAAACCGCTTCCACAAGGTCCAGCATAGTAGCTGTAGCCATCGTCAGTGTCGGAAACACCGAATTCAGGGAAACCGTTGGGACACTGAGAGGTCGAGCATCCAGCCGAGTCGATGGCCTGGAAGTTGAGGCACGCTCCATCAGTGTTGCTGCGAGCCCAATAGACACAGCCAAGGGTGTTGTAGCAGGCATTGCAGCAGTCCTTGTTGATGTTGGTGCTGCCTGGGAGGGACACCTCGTTGCTCTCCATGAGTTCCGGGGAGTCGGGAACGCCGATTTCGATCCGGCCGTAGCCTGTAGGTCCGCACGGGTTGACCTGGACGGTGGAGACGGGGATGGTTCGCGTCGTGGCGGTCTTGGTCCAGGGGACGGTGACAGATGAGATGGAGAATCGCGTAGAGATGGATGTTGCTGTGCTCTTGGAGAGCCTGGTCTTGGTGATGGTGGTGGAAATGTCAGTGACTGCACCAATGGTCATGGAGACGGTAGTGGTTTCTTTGACGGTAACGTGCTTGGTGACAGTTGGGGACTTTCCGCTTGCGATCTTGGTGTAGGTCGTGGTAACCGTGGGTCTTTCAACAATGGTTGTGGATTCTGTCATGGCGCTGGTTGAGGTGCTTGTCAAATAGCAGTCTAGGTAATTATTCAGCTTTGTCACAACACTAATGGCACAGGGTTCGGCTTACAGCAGTCACGGGGAAGCACGGCTCTTTCACCCAAGTGCCCTCTCCTAAGCTTCAGCTTGTTGTTCCCAGCATCGCAGGACTGCTGAGCCCACGTTGAAGTAGTGCTGCGCGTCTTTGTGCTGCGATTCCTGGTTAGCAAGGGGAAGTTTTATTGGTCAATATTACTCACGCTGGCAGTGTGGTAGTAACAATGACTGTAGTCAGATATGTTCGAGGTTTGGGAAGCGTGGTGTACAGCCACTTGGTATCGGTCCGGGAGACAACCTTTGTGGTATACAGCGCCGTGATGGTAGGAAGCGTCTTACTGTCCGAAAAGTCTCTGGTTAGTACAGGGGTTTTGGGGAAGCATACAACATTAAACTCACGTTCTGCTCTTTGAGTAGGTAGTAGTGGTAACCTCAGTTGTAGTAGTTGCCGTGATGGTTTCTGTTTCTCGGATCACGACAGGCTTGGTAACCGTAACCGCTTCGCTTGCGGCGGGCACGAAGCAGGCCGTTTGAGAGAGTGATTTCGATGCTGCAAAAATTCATAATAATTAGCCTACAGGCCTTTATGTACGGACAGCGCATGAGATACCAATAAGCTCCGAGCAGAGTTCCGCAGAAGCCTCGGGCAGGGCTGCACAAGAAGACGCGGCAGGCTTGCAAAGGCCAATGGAGCTCTGCCCCGTTGCATGCTCCAGAGTTGCCAGGAGAAGGAGCCAGATGAAGTGAAAGTGCATGTTGATGCGTATTTGGGTCAGTTGAAGTGTTGGATGTTGGATGTTGAATGTTGAATGATAGTTAATAGGCGAGTTGGTTGGAGAAAAGATTCTAGTGTTCAGTGGGAGGGAGTCAACTTATAGCATTCTTGCTCCCATTTCACGGCTCTTTTTCTATGTTAGTCGTACAAGTCGTCAATATTGTTACATAATTGATTACTGACAAGTTTGATAGTTTAGAGAAGCATCTCTGTGGTGGAGCTTTCAAAGACAGACGAATCGTGACCATATGCCAGCCACATTGACCCAAATGGCACCGTGGATAACGTGGCTCGCAAGACAGAATGTGCTCTAGACCCCAACATCAAATTCCTCGGAGTTACATCGAAGACCGATAATAGAAGCCAGGAAGATCGATCCCACTGTGAACACCAACACATGAAATCATTACATTGAATCATGTTCAGGAATGCTAAACTCGAATATGGGTAACTTGAATCGTTTCCGGTAGTGTTGATGCTGTTGGAGACTTCTGGAACTCAAGACGAACAGTGGCTTGTCAGATCACAACTATTCCATTCGCGTTCCATGAACAATGTGATTAGTAATTATAAGGCTTGCATCAGCTCATGTGGCTTTCGTCATGATATCAACTCCACTTTTCACAGCCCTATCCGCGGAGATATAAGCATAAACATAAGTTACCGCTGCGATGGTCTAGAATCGGGTCCATCAATGAGCTATCAAAGCAAGCTTTCAGCCACAAATGACGAGGTACAAGCTGCAAGGCACAAACATGACTTTCAGCCCTGGCTTCGCCCTCATGTCTAGACAGGCCGGTGAACCTGGGGATAAACTTTACGTTGAAATCGGATCATTCACCCAACGATGTTCTCACATCACCGAAAACGTCGATTTGCACATACTTCCACGTCAAGTTCTTTTGTTCAGTCTCTAGTGCGTGTTCAGATGCACGGCTATAAATTGGCTCTCGACAGCTGAGGAAACATCAGCCAATGCCTGACAACCAAGTCACACATACTCTACCAAGCCAAGAACACCACCACCCAACATCCACAACATGTACTTCCCAACTCTTGTTCTCCTCCTCACGGCCGGACTTGAAATGAGTCTTGTCAGAGCTGCCAAAGCGCCCAAGAACAGCACGGTCAAACTGGACAAGTGCGCGGTAACTGCCCTGACGACCGAGTTCTCGGCTGGCTTCAAGCAGCCGAACCCTCCTCAGATCAAGAGCGAGTTCACCACTAGCTTCGTCCAGCACAGATGGTACGTTCTCCACATAGCCCCGGCCTGCTTCTGACAGGAACGCAGGAACCAACGCACTTCGGTCATCGTCGCAGGATACCTCGAGAACTCCGGCTCTCAGGGCGTCATACGGGTTGACCAGGCTTACGACGGGTCCCTAACCTCATCCGTCTACGACTACAACAACATGACAGACGACACTATGGTGGACCACACGATGAACACGTTCCAAAGCGGCGCAAGCTGCCCCAAGGTGTCTAGGGGCTACGACAACATCACTTTTCCGCTCTTCTCCAAGGACATGCTCATCAAGGGTGGCGCTGTGTTCACTGGGTCTGTCACGAGAGACTTTTCTGGCCGTGGCGTGGGTGTAAGTTTTTCTCTACCTGTTAGTATTCAACTTACAAGACTGACGTTGCTTTTAGTGGAATATCATCTATGAGGGCCGGATGCCGCTGACAGTTTATGTCAACCCTTGCAACGCTATTATAGGATATGACTACTTCTTGCGGGATGAACGGACCAGAGTGGTTACAGAGTTCTTTAATACTAACATAACTACCAATCAGCGAGATGTTCTGGCAGGTGTTGCGCTGCCCGCTATCTTTAAGTAGTCTAGATAGTGTAATTATACATGATTTTAGAATATCGACTTGTTCATATATGTGTTTGTGTGTGTGCGTGCATGTTACACTTGTTGGAGAACATCTGTTTTGTTTGAATATTGGGGTTCAACGCGACAGCCGTATGGCCTATTGTTGACTCGATTTTAAGGTTGCTGCGTCCTCTATGGCTTTTTTATAGCGCCTTTCATTATACCGTAGTAAGACAAAACACCACCGTTATGTCACTCTGTTTAGCTATATTGCTAGCTCTATATATGTATATATCTATATATTGTCTGCTATTCCTACATCGAAACAAGTACTCAACACTCAACACTCAAACCGCTGAAGCTTGCAATACTACTTACACTGGCAGTGATTGCAGCATCCACCTGTGCCTCTATTGCTCCCATAGCCGAAGCGTTCAATACATTGTTGTCCGTCAGGCCACCGGTATCTGCAGTAGCTGCTGCTGGCGCTGAAGAAGCAGTTACACCTGACATACCCCATGCTAAAGCTGATTAGCTCACGAGCCTATCTCTGTTGTCTAGGTTTTCCATAGACTTACCTTGGCTGCCAAGATTGATGGCTACTTTTGTAAATATGATGATTGACATTATTGGAGAAATGCATTTATTAATGCAGAACCCCAGCACTAGCTTATGTGCTCGGCGTCTGAGCTCCCGCTCGATCAGAACGGAGATGAAAAACCAGCAAGAGGGCAACTGGCCGATGACAAGCATCGGGATGAGTTTCAAGACCGGCACTCCGTGGCTGACCCGTCTGAGGAACATGATCGTGTTGAGAACTCGGTAGTAGACAAGGCTTAACCGAACCACCTCAATAGTCGCTGCTATTCTCGTAATCAGGATCATTCTCTCACCTCCGAGATAGAAGTAATTGTTGAAGTAGGCGTTTGATCCCCATCTGCGCCGCTGGCTAAGATAATGCTGTAGGGACTGGGGAGCGACTGTTTCGCTCACGGCGTCAGGGACAAAGAGCGTGTGCAGGTGCTTCCCTTGAGAAAGCATTGAGTAGGTCAGTCTCCTATCAGTTCCCTATGTTTAAGCAGTCAGATCAGGACTTGGGCTGTGAGCAATCAAGGTCAACTCACAAGATACTGCACTTGATGTGAGAGCACCAAAGCCCCCGTAATAGGCTCTGCATACTTTTGGATAGCCCCTCCCATCTCCTCCCTAACAGATATCATGGTGATGCAGCCTGGAAGACATGTGACCTTTCCGATGTAGTGTTCTGCTCTTCTGCGAACGTACTGGCCAAAGGTGTACTGGGGCCGTCAGTCTGACAGGATCATTTCTCTGTAGATATACTCTTCGCATACCTGAAATTGCTGGTACAGGTTCCAGACGGACCATTCGTATCCTGGCTCCAGCTCCACAAGAACAAGGCCGCAGGCTGCAATGGCATTCTTGTTGCGGCACAGAGCATTTGCAAGCTTGGCTAATGCACCCTTGTGAATCGTAGAGTCTGCGTCGGTGCAAAACACCATATCAAAGCCTTGGAACTGATCTGTTTCCGACAGCAGAGACGGCAAGATGTGAGTCCATATCTCTTCTCTCAAGAGCCTCGTATAAATCGGCGCGTTGGGGCGGATGTAATTGAACAGATCATGACACAGGATAAGCGAGTCCTTTTTGCCGCCATTCTTGAGCTTTTCGAGAACAATAACGGGAACGTCTTCCATGTAGCCGGCAATTATCCGCAATGTTCCCCTTTTCCACTTGAAGGATATATATGCTCTCTCGAGTTGAGTGATGACCCGTGTCATATTTCCTCGGATGTCGCGGGGCTGTCCGTCAAGTATCACCACCATGACCTGGCGATGAGGCTCTGTGCCGTTGTCGCGAAGCGAAAATATGGTTTTGACGATTTGTTCTTCGCTTTCCGAGTATGCCGGTATCAGGGATAATATCCAGCGCTGTGTGATGGGGTCTGGGGGCCAGAGTGTCTGGTACACCTTGGTAAACGCAAGGCCCACGGGGGATATGATGGAGGAAAGAAAGTCTTTGCTTTTGATGAAGTATATCATCGCTAGAGCCACCTTGGATTCCTTTCCTAGTATCGCTGTGATGGCCAGGATGATGTTGAGCAGCAGGATAGCACCGAGGAAGATGATGCGCTGCTTGGTAAGGTCTTGTCGAGTGAGGACCCTTGCTGGATCAACGGGGTCATCAACTTCAGGATATCCCGAAGTTTCAACAGTGAGGCCACGGCTGCCCAGCATTTCAGCCTTGTCTGACTCCGGGACATTGCCCATAAGGTCATTAACGCACACTCCCTTGGCGGGTGCAGTGTTTGAGACACCCGAGGCCTTGTCCCTAGCACCGAGATCTTTTTCTATGGCACTATCGAGGCAATGTCCTGCCCTGTCAGGAACAGGCTGTTGGTTGCCGTTTGTGCAGAGAGTGTCGGTGGTCTCTCCTGTGACTCTGCTAGGCTTGGAGAGCATCTTTGCTGACACCAGTTTTGGAAAGCCACCGGATTTCGGCAGAGAACAGAAGATAAAATCAGAAGACGAGGCGGGCTTGAGATCATGCCACGCGTTATTGCAGGGCGTCGGCCGCAAGAAGCAGACGTGACGATCTTGGTTGTCCCCTTTGATTGATTAGTGAACTTGGCTTTGAGCATGCCTTTCTCCCTCTGCTAGTATTTGACCTACGCCATCGCCGCGTTTGTCCTGGACTCGACAGTATGTGCCACTTCAATGGTACCTGTTCCTGGATTCGGCAAGATCCGTCCTCTGTTGTAAGACGCAGGAACCCGGATCCAAGCAAAGATGCCTTGTTCCCATGATGCGTCGAGGTGGAGGGTGCGCCATGTGGGAGTCTAGAAGTTGATTTAGCTCGTCGCGTCGTCGTGTTTATTCAAAAATGATGCTATTGCCATTTTCGCAATGCATTCCAGTCCATGATATCATGTTGGTGTTCTTGATCAAATGGTTAGTTCCCCAAGCCTAACCTGTTTTGTGCGCCGTTTATTCCCAGGACATCACCGGAATAAGGATGAGAAAGGTCTAGACCACGGCACGGGAGACCTTCTAGCCTGTAGATGATCTTTCTGGAAACATTGCGCGGAGATGGGGTAGTTGATCAAAGCCTCTTGTGCGACGATGCAGGTGAGTTTGGTAGTATATATAGCCTCGTTGTTTACGACAATAATCCTCAATCCAAGCAGATTTATCCACTCAGACATCAGCTCCATCCATTCAAGTTCAGTTATTCATCAATTATCCACCAACATGCCGCACAAGATTGAGCAGCCTGCCCTAGAGGGCTCCCAAGTCCTAACCGTCAAACAAGACATCCTCGTTGCCGTCATCGGCATAGGATTCGTAGGCACAGGACTGGTGTCTACATTTTCCACTGCCTATCCGGTCCTTGGGTTCGATGTTAGCCAGAAGCGAGTTGCAGAAGTAGCTCGCGAGTTTTATACTCGGCCCAACACCCGCTTCACGACCCAAGAGTCAGATCTCGGTCAGGCAACCCACTTCTTGATCTCCGTCCCTACTCTCCTCCTGCCCGACAAGTCTGTTGATCTCTCCTACATCAAGAGTGCCCTTGACGTGATCCGGCGCTGGGCAAAGCCGCAGTCGACGATTGTGGTTGAAAGCTCAGTGGCCGTGGGGATGACGCGGAAACTACTGGGACCTCTCGCCCTGTCAAATGGCTACTTTGTTGGCATGTCTCCCGAGGTTAGTAAGCTCACTTGACTCAGTACTTGAGTGAAATTAATCGGCCATCTAGCGTATTGATCCTGGTCGTACCGAGCCGCCTATGCATTCTATCCCCAAGGTAGTCTCTGGGCTTGACGATATCTCCCCCGGGTCATTGAACTTCATTACCAAGCTGTACCAACGCGTGTTTGACCAGGTCATACCTGTTTCAAGCCCAGAAGTAGCAGAAATGACAAAACTTTACGAAAACTGTCAGCGAATGATGGGGATAGCATTTGCCAACGAGATGGCAGACGCATGCGTTAGCCATAACATCAACCCCTTTGAAGTATGCAGGGCCGCATCAACCAAGCCATTCGGCTACATGCCATTTTCTCCTAGTCTGGGAGTCGGCGGCCATTGCATCCCCGTTAACCCATACTATCGCCTCCTCAACAACGACTTTCCGTTGTTGCAACAGGCAGCAGAGAGGATGCATCAGCGGCCCAAGCGAATAGCCCATCGCATTCTGGCCGAGCTCTATGCAGATGAACACCAGAGCGACTCTGGAAGACTCGTGCCAAAGCGCGTGCTTATCGTCGGCATAGGGTTCAAGGCCGGGCAGTCGCATCTCGTGAATTCACCCGGCCTTGCGCTGGCTTCGGAGCTCCAGCGCATCGGCCAGGTGGATGTCATGTTTGCCGACAGTCTTGTGCACCAGTGGCAGGTCCCCCATATTGAGAAGTTGCCCGAGGAGGGTTGGAATAGAGAGTGTTTGGGGGAGTTTGACATGATTGTTGTGGCTTTTCGACAGGTCGCGATGGAGTTGGGAGTTTTGGAGGGTCTGCATGGGGTCAAGGTGCAGATGTGGTGCGACTAACCTAACTTGGCTTGGTTAGATGTTAGCCTTGTAACTAATAGATGTACCTTTCAGTTTTCACTGCTTAAACCCCTCAGTGCCCCCAGATATACCCGCTAACCTCCCTGTAAGCGGAGTCTGTCTCACTGAGACCAGGAAAAGGTAGTGCAATAGCCACTTTGGAGCATGAATAAGAAGAATTAATTACAATCTACCCATTACCTTTATCCACCATTACATCACCTCATCCCAATCACCTCACTACAGCCATCAATTACCTACTCATCCCAGGTAATCTTCATACTAGTAGGGAACGGCCAAATACTTCCCCAGTCCTCCGTCATGTAGACAAAGAAACCCCCCGGTCTCGGAACCTTCTTCAACTCCCCTTGCGCACCAGGAACCCTCCTAACACCCTTCTTCCTAAACACCGCCCTAAACAGCTCCGTGAGCGCAACCTGGCTGATATCCCTCCCCAGACAGGCGTGCGGGCCGACGCCGTAGTGGATGTACTTGTCCAGCGGACGCTTGGGGTCCACGACGCCAGGGTTGGGGAAGATCTTGGGATCCTGGGCGGCTTGGACGAAGGAGACGAAGACGCGGTCGCCCGCGTTGACGGGGATGCTGCGGCCGTCGTCTTCGTGGATCGTGTCGGGGCCTGTGGCTTCGCGGTAGAGACCGAATGTTCCGGCCATGCGGATTCCTTCCATTGCGTAGCCGAGGAGCAGAGCGTCTGTCTCGTCGCCTGTTTCGAGGGCGGCGATGCGGGCTAGTTCGGGGCGGTATTTCTCACCTGCTGGGGAGAGATACCAGTCCAGTGTTTGCGCAAACTGACTCATTAGCACTCACTCAATTGACAGTAGGTGAAGTTTGACTTACCACTTGAGCCTGGTTGGGCACCATAGCACCAGCCGTAGGCAGGATCTGACTCCAGACAATATCCTCCGTGCTCAACCCCGCCTTCTTCAACCCCTTGGCCATGTTCTCACCATACCTCGCCAGCGGATCATCATTCTTATCCGGCTTACTAGTAAACAATCCCTTGACCCCAATGCTATTCGCCAACTTGACATTCATCTCAATAATACCGCCCAGTTTCTGCGCAACCTCCCTCGCACCCTGTCTAAGCGGGAAACTCTTGGCCGGATCAATGTCAAAGAAGATACACACAAAGATCACAGCAAGGATCATGTACAGCTCTTGCTCCGAGAACACACCCTTTGGATTCTCGCTCGTCTTGAGCGGTAGGTTAAACATCCTCGCGACGAAGTGCGTGTGCGCAACGTTACCCACGTCTCGTACAACATCAACCTGCGTCTTGCCCGCAAGCTTGTACGACTTCTCGGCGAGTAACTTCTCAGCGGTCGTAGCGTAAAACGACTTTACTGCATTGCGCCATGTGTCGTTGTACAGGAGCTTACCCATGCACTTGCGCTGCTGGGCGTGAAGCTGCGTATCACCCGAGAGCATGAAGCGCCCGCCTGCTTCGCCCATGAGGTACTTGAGGCCTTCTTCCCAGCAGACGCGGTATTTTTGCTGATCCTCTAGAATGTACTTTGCGGCGTTGTACCCGATGATGTTGATGCGAGTGGCTGTAGGTTCAGGACGGGAAAAGTCAAAGCGGTCTGCGCGCTTGATGTCTGTGAGGATCTTTTTGTTCTCCGAGGGTATCACCATGGGATAGTGCGCGTAGACGGAGTTGCCCTTGAAGTGCTGGGGGAATGCGCGCAGGAAGAGCTTGTAGAAGACGCAGCCGTGGTTGACCTTGAGATCGTAGTCGACTTCCTTGTAGCCCCAGTTGGTCAGGTGACGGGGGTTGTAGTCGGTGGTGTAGTACCTATCGCCTCTGACGAGAGCGACGGCATCGGAGAGGACGACTCGAGAGATGGTGTATGTGGGCGCGATGCCGACACCTGGGACCATGGGAGTCTTTGCCTCTTCAGCGACGATACCGGGATACAACTCGACGTAGTCAGGATGTTGATAGAGGTTACGCAGAGCATCAGCGACGGAGGGATCAGAGTTGATGTCCTCGAACGTCTCATACGCCTTCAAGCCGAAATGCTTCCTAAACTCATTCAATCCAGCCAAGTTCCACTTCCTCCCACGCATGATACCCAACATCTCAATGGGCTTCATGATACGCGGGACATTACGTCCGCCAAACGCACCACCAGGCTGTTCAATAGCCGTAGCCAGTGCCTCGACAAGTTCATCGTCGTTGAACTTGCCATCAGGACCTCTCTTGAAGCCACCAAACGTTCTCTCACTCGGCTCATCAGCGACACTCGCCTCAAACGCTTTAAGCGCCTTCATCATAGTCTGCAGGTTCATAGGCCCGTAGTTCTCACCAAGAAGCTCAGTGTAGAAATCCTGAACCCACTTGTCGTCCATCTCCGAGAGACACGAGTGCCAGCGATAGCAAAGGTTGAACTCAGCAGAAACAACGTTTCCAGTGCCGCTCTCAGACAGATCCTTCGTACCTACACTAACGCCCATTTCCTGTCGCGGATCAAGAGTCCAGGTGGTGTCAACCCTGTTCAGATTGATGATGTTTCTCACGTAGTCAATAAGCGTGATGTTGATGTACAAGCCAGAGGTGACGAGTCTCGCAGTCTCAAAGAGCTCCGTGTCGCGCTTCTTCCACGCAGCCTCTGCAGCTTCGGGGGATAAATGCTCAGCTGGTTTGGAGAAGCGACCGCCCTCGTTGATGTCTGCGAGGTTCGTGGCGACATGGTTGTGAAAGCGGTTGAACATGATGAGGAGGATAGGAACACCAGGTGGATTACCGATGAGACGCTTATCAGCGAAACAATCAGGCTTCAATTGGCCGTCTTTGAAGGTTCGGATTGAGTCGCGGTCTTTTTCGGTTGAGCCGTAGAGAGGAGCGAGGTCGAGATAGGAGGAGGAGTCGTTCTGGTTAGGGTCCTGGAGGTTT